AATTATTACTTTTATTCAGCAAGGATGCATTAAATTGATCAAATGGGAGAGTAGAGAGACTTTTGCATGGAAATGTTACTTGAGCATAGGGTTGCAAAGGAGTGGAAAATTTCTGGTAAATTTCCGGAAACCTTCCAAAAATTCTGGAATGTTTTTTCGAACTTTACTGGAAATTTTCCACCTTTTTGCAACCCTACTTGAGCACCAATCAGCACATTATAATGATTTCTGAAGGATCAAGTGACACTGAAGTCTGTTGTAACGGCTGCTGAAAATTCAGCTTTGACATCACAGGAATTAATGACATTTTAAAATATATTGAAATCGAAAACAGTTATTTTCAATTGTAATAATATTTCACAATACTGCTATTTTTACAGTATTTGTCATCAGATAAATTCAGCCTTGGTGAGCATGAGAGACCTTTTTTATACCGGGTTTTAGATGATTCAGACCGGTTGGGATGCTTGACTTGGGCAGATCTAATATGTGCCAGAATCTCCTTAACAGCGTGTGGGAACGCCAACTGATGCTGGACATTAAAAAGCTATCAATCAGCACTCTAGTCTAAAGATGGGCCAGCAGAAGGGGGTAAGGGAGTATTGATTAAACCCAACGCAGGCTGCCAGAACTTGCACAGCCCCATAACTGAACCTGACGTTTATAGAAATAGGCTGAGCTGAGAGAAAACTAAAAAGAAAAGAGAGGAATGCAGTTTTCAGTGTCCTTGTGCCAAAATTCTGAGTCATATATCTTGATATATTAGTGCAGTTTTTGCAAAGCCGTATACAAGTCTTATTTTCCTTCTTACTGCAGTAAGTACAAGCCCATATAGTCAACATTTTGACATCAGTTTATCATTGTGACAGACATTTATACATGATATTTAAAAAATAATTAAATAAATAGATTTTACATGTTTTTGTTTATGGATAAAATTGTATATAATATTATGATACAGTCATTGTTTGTTATGGATTGAAATGTATATAACCTTATGATGTAATTTCTGGCAGTTACCATTATTCTTTTCATGGTTAAATTAACTGAATTTTTCAGTGCATTCAGTTGTCATGCTAAAGTACAACATAGTGTAGTATTATTATGTAATACTTAAAACAGAATTAAACGAGCACAACTGTTTGTCCTTCACTGGTTAAAATACTTACTAAGAATAACATTAACCGACAACAACATTTCCATCAACAAATACAAAAATCGTGCTTTAGCTGTGGCACATATCCACAACACATAAACAGCCTGTGTCATGCACTGTCTCTGACCCTATAATGGTTTCCTGTCTTTCTTTCCTTTTGTCCTGTGCTTAAAGGCATTAAAGCCCATAAATAGAAATATAAAAAGCAAGCACTGAAACTGCACAAACAGATCGCGTGCCTCTTTTTTCCCGCCATCACGCACAGGATTCTGATGTTACAGACTTCTCCAGAATCTAACATTCCACACTGTCCCTAACAGCCCTACTGACAGATCCTGAACACTGAGATGAAATCAGCGCAGTATGTGCAGACACTGATCATTTTGAAACTAAGCGTCTGGTGTTTGTCCATCTCTGTCAGGAGCAATGCTGGATATCCATTCTTTTTGCAAACATACAGGGTTACACATCTACTCAAGTAGCTCATGGCTCAGGGCAGGCTGGGAAAACACTGCATGATCTGAGGCAGCAACATTTCGACACGCTGCCAAAACAGTTAGGAGCAGCTGCAGAGATCGGAACAGTCTGATGACAGGAATATGCAAAAAGAACAACACTACCAATACTGAAGCATTATTTTCTCATTATGATTGATGTGCATCTCATAAGTTTGATTGCATCATATAATAATTGCTGTTAATAGTGTTCATCGTCTGTTTGATTACGTCTTTAATTGATTTTTCCGTACATTTCTGCCATATGTACATTAACTGACAGTCACCACTAATAAGCTACTACTAAATATATTGTAGAAACTCAATTTTCTGTAAAGTTGCTTTGCAACGATTTGTATCGTGAAAAGCGCTATACAAATAAACTTGAATTGAAAATGTTTCAAAAGAGGGTTTTCCAAGTGATGCAACAGAAGAACCACTTTGGGTTCCTCAAAGAACCAATTCCAATAATTTTTTCTTAGTGTGAAGAACCTAAAAATAGAACCTTAAGCAATGGAAAGGTTACATGGATGTTAAAGGTCACATATTGTACACCTTTCTGGAGTTTTATTTTAGGTTTTGATGTCCTTAACTGAAGGCGGTGACTATGTAGTTCTGACGTCAACTTTTTACGGAAGTCAAAACGGTTTGTGAAAAATCACAGCTACTTTATGCAGGCTGTGTGCATTTTACTGTGGACTGACTGTTTTGAAACTTATATGGTAGTTAAATAGCCCCTAGACCTCAGTTATCGTGAAAAAAAGCCAGGAAATTTCAGTTTTGACAATATGGGACCTTTAAAGGTTTTTCATGGAACCATAGATGCCAATAAAGAACCTTTTGTGTCTGATGACGGCACTTCAGCTCTGATGGAATCTTTTGGGTTTCTGTTTGCCCAGCTCAGATCATGGTCATTCTCATACCTAGAACAGCGTAATCACGTGAAAATAACCCTGAACTAATAGCAGTGAAATCGATAGAGATATCTACCCGTCGCAGGCAGAGCTCCGCTCTCTCGCTCTCACCTGTATAAGATTACATGCAAAGAAATGGCTCCTTTAACAGAAATACAACAGTCAGAAGGTCTGAGAAGACACTGACAATCTAGGAAATCTAATTGGCCAAAACGTTTCAGTATTTTGTTATGTTGTAAATGAATAAGGATGATTCTGTACTGTTTCTAGTCAAATAATCAAATTTGGGACATTGACCATGTGAACTCCGCTGCAAAAAATGTCAGATTTTCCACCACTGAAGCACTGATGCTCTTTGGAATATTTTCAAGCTGGTTAACGTAGATCATCAGGTTTTACACAAACTTGTGGAGTGCAAATTCCAAGCAATTCTCAAATTCATTATGCCTTTCAGTTTAACTATTATGCTGAATATATTATTTGCAATAAAAATCTATTAAATTAGAAAAAGCTATACAGGAAAAATTTCACTAAAGGTCTCAGATTTTTGGACATCTCTGTATGTGTGAGCATTGGAGAGACTGTGTCTGCTTATGTTCCTGCAGCCCTATAACAGTCTCACATATCTAGTAATTGTTTGTTCATCGCACTGCCTGAAGTATAAAATGAAGCCTTGTAAAATGAGTTTTTTTTGATGACGTGCTTCTGTTGAAGTGATCGTGCCTTGGGTTACATTCTCCTGACACTTCTTTGTACATCAAAAAAAGTGACTTTGTCATTCAACATCTTGTGTTGTTGCACAACATTAAAAAGACAGCCATGTTTTGCTGGTGTCTCTTATGTAATTCTGGAGAAAAGGGTGCATCAAAACATTGTACACACAGAGAAATGCATGTGGCCGGTGTTTTGATAGCTATAACATGAAAATAAATTATATGTACCTTCTGTTTCCTATAGTGTTAAAAACCATATCAACTGAAATAAAATATGATTCATGCCAAACTGACACCAGCAGCTGGGAACAACTTGAGCCAACATAAATATCCAATGCTGCTTCAACTTAAATACGTTTAGATGCTTTTTAGCTATACACGGTTACAGATGCATACTCTACAACTATTTGATTTCTCATCTAAAAATTTAATCTCATCTAAAGATGTGTGATTTTTGCCTGGCATTACAGTTTCTGTATCTCTTCACACCTGCATTCCTGAGTTTCTTGTTCCTGTACACAGACAGGATGACCAGCAGATTTCCAACGATATCAGCCACGGTGGTGAAGATCAGCACGCCGGCGAGGGTGGCCGCTACCCCGGGAGACGAGCTCCTGGCGGGGAGGCAGTTGTTTCCTGATAAACTATACAGACAGCTTAAGTTCGCCTTCATCAACTCCATTCTTAGGCAAAAGCGTAAAGCCACATTAAGGTTTCTCCTTTGATCCACTCTTCGAGGAAAAAAGGCAAAGTTGGAACGAACCGGTATTCACCCTCCAGAAAATATAACCAATCCATTCCACTCATAAAATGTCACTGAGCACCTAAAAATCGAATGCAGTATAAAAGCCGTTTTTACATAACTTCCATAGCACGGTAACCGTCACAGAAGGACCCCTTCGAATTTCCCAGTAGACCCCATTCAATTCAAATGCATGTCTGGTAGTCGGCGCATTGTCAGCCCCACAGTTATCTGGATTGTCACCTCGGATCACAGTGACTCTCACACACACTCCGGGCTGTTGCTCAGACGCCACACACATCAGCGGCAGTCTGCGTCGCATCCCTCTCGGTCTCCGTTCCAGCGCACAGTCAGTTGTGCAGCTCTAAACCGAGCCGCAATTAGCGTAACGAGAATGGGATTCAATCTAGTCCACCACCTCTGCGAACCGTTAAAACTGAGTGTGGAGGTTTATTTTTTTGCATACTGGTAAAAAAAATAATTTATAGCCTGAATGCACTGTAAGTCGCTTTGGATAAGCGTCTGCTAAATGCATAAATTATTATTATTATTATTTTATATGTATATATTTTGATAACATAGGCTACATACACATATTATAAATATGTATATTAATATAGTATACATTTTAATTTTGGGGGGTAAGCAGAAAAGTTAGCGAAGGGAACTCTCGATGGCTTGGAGGTAACCATAACAACAGTATGCAGCCGGAGCGCTTTCAGTAAGTAATTCACATTTATATACAGCACCTTATAGTTTTACTTACCACAATTAAAATAAATTGCTTATTTTTATTTTAAAGAGGTCGTCTAAAAAGACCACTTTTGGCTAGCGACGCCAAACCTCTGTGCACAAGATTACTAGATATTTATATTTATATAGCCTATTATTTAATTTCACATTCAATTCAATTCGATACATTTTTACAGAATTCATTCGATAATTTGACGAAATAAAAACATTTTTAAAATATTTGTAAAATTATTTTTAGATTTTAAGATCGATTTAAGTCAGAAAATATTTAAATGATACGTCTAATATGATTTTTATTGATGTCCTATAGGCTATAAAATAATATTTTCTGCTTCACATAAGTAATTAACCCGGAATCGCTTCAACCAGCCACACACACTTGCCGCTGCATGATGTTAATAGTCTCATTGTTATGTTAATTTAAAACAAATTTACAGATGTTTGGGAGGCTGCAACAGTCAAGCTGACGAACAATGGCAGGCCACGTATAAACAGTGGCATCCTGACATGAGAGCTGGAACAGCTGAACAGAAAATAATCTGTAGCTAAAAATAATCATCCACATTCAATCTCATGCATATTTACATTCACACTAGTGTAACAATGGTGTTGCTACAATGGGAAATGGTCGAGAGAGGCTATAGCCTATTATACCAATCACTGCAGTGCCTTCTGGGAAAATTAAGTTATGCAGTTATTTTATAATGCAAAAAAGGCAGTGAAGCAGAGGACAGGCATCATAAACAACTAGAGCTCATGCCTGTAGGTGTCTCATGTCTTGTTTACAATTCTATGCCATAAATTTCTGTCTAACTCTTTCTGTTGGATTTTCCACTTACAGTGTCATCAGTCAATTCTCGGTGGAGTCTTCCGGTTCTGTCGAACCAGCGTTTTAGTCTTCCTGTCATTCCTCATTCTGCATATGTGTCAGAACAGTCTCAGCTTTCACTGAATAAACTCTGAACTCTGCAATAAGGTTCATTTGTGAGTCAATTCCCAGATTCCTGTATCTATTTCTTTGAATGCTAATAGCCTACTTTCAGACTCTTTTGTTAAAAGTTGTTTCACACACTAATATATGTGCAACATAACTTTCAACAAAAGGCTATATTAATAATAATAATAATAATACAATACTAAATAAGCTCTCCCTATAAGGTAATAGCACGTAATAACTATTAAATTGACTTTTAAAGGGTTAATAAAATACAAAGATGTCTCTTTAAGTGTATTGCCCCAGCACCAAGCTGTTGTACTCCTAAAGGTATATTTGCAACAATGTATTAAATGCTAAATATGTCTTTAGAACATCTAGTGTTGTACAATGTAGCCATAATCAACTTAGATTTGATAAAACTAACCAAAAACTTTGGAACTTTAAGCCCGAAACAAAGTGAAGAGAACAGAAAGGGCCATCAGAAATACTGCCAAGTTGCCTGGTGTGAGAATGCATAAATTATTATTATTATTACTTTATATGTATATATTTTGATAACATAGGCTACATACACATATTATAAATATGTATATTAATATAGTATACATTTTAATTTTGGGGGGTAAGCAGAAAAGTTAGCGAAGGGAACTCTCGATGGCTTGGAGGTAACCATAACAACAGTATGCAGCCGGAGCGCTTTCAGTAAGTAATTCACATTTATATACAGCACCTTATAGTTTTACTTACCACAATTAAAATAAATTGCTTATTTTTATTTTAAAGAGGTCGTCTAAAAAGACCACTTTTGGCTAGCGACGCCAAACCTCTGTGCACAAGATTACTAGATATTTATATTTATATAGCCTATTATTTAATTTCACATTCAATTCAATTCGATACATTTTTACAGAATTCATTCGATAATTTGACGAAATAAAAACATTTTTAAAATATTTGTAAAATTATTTTTAGATTTTAAGATCGATTTAAGTCAGAAAATATTTAAATGATACGTCTAATATGATTTTTATTGATGTCCTATAGGCTATAAAATAATATTTTCTGCTTCACATAAGTAATTAACCCGGAATCGCTTCAACCAGCCACACACACTTGCCGCTGCATGATGTTAATAGTCTCATTGTTATGTTAATTTAAAACAAATTTACAGATGTTTGGGAGGCTGCAACAGTCAAGCTGACGAACAATGGCAGGCCACGTATAAACAGTGGCATCCTGACATGAGAGCTGGAACAGCTGAACAGAAAATAATCTGTAGCTAAAAATAATCATCCACATTCAATCTCATGCATATTTACATTCACACTAGTGTAACAATGGTGTTGCTACAATGGGAAATGGTCGAGAGAGGCTATAGCCTATTATACCAATCACTGCAGTGCCTTCTGGGAAAATTAAGTTATGCAGTTATTTTATAATGCAAAAAAGGCAGTGAAGCAGAGGACAGGCATCATAAACAACTAGAGCTCATGCCTGTAGGTGTCTCATGTCTTGTTTACAATTCTATGCCATAAATTTCTGTCTAACTCTTTCTGTGGGATGTTCCACGTACAGTGTCATCAGTCAATTCTCGGTGGAGTCTTCCGGTTCTGTCGAACCAGCGTTTTAGTCTTCCTGTCATTCCTCATTCTGCATATGTGTCAGAACAGTCTCAGCTTTCACTGAATAAACTCTGAACTCTGCAATAAGGTTCATTTGTGAGTCAATTCCCAGATTCCTGTATCTATTTCTTTGAATGCTAATAGCCTACTTTCAGACTCTTTTGTTAAAAGTTGTTTCACACACTAATATATGTGCAACATAACTTTCAACAAAAGGCTATATTAATAATAATAATAATAATACAATACTAAATAAGCTCTCCCTATAAGGTAATAGCACGTAATAACTATTAAATTGACTTTTAAAGGGTTAATAAAATACAAAGATGTCTCTTTAAGTGTATTGCCCCAGCACCAAGCTGTTGTACTCCTAAAGGTATATTTGCAACAATGTATTAAATGCTAAATATGTCTTTAGAACATCTAGTGTTGTACAATGTAGCCATAATCAACTTAGATTTGATAAAACTAACCAAAAACTTTGGAACTTTAAGCCCGAAACAAAGTGAAGAGAACAGAAAGGGCCATCAGAAATACTGCCAAGTTGCCTGGTGTGAGAGGAATCCACTGCATACGCTGTAAAAATAGTTTTATTGAAGTCTCTTGGAGTGAACAAGATAAACAAATGTCAGCTTAAACAAAGCAAGAAGCTATAAGACAGACAGACAGACAGACAGACAGACAGACAGAAACAGACAGATAGATAGATAGATAGATAGATAGATACTGTTCTGCTGTTGAATCTTTTGCACTGTAGAATCTGCAAAAGTCTTTGAAATGTAATAATTAAGAGTTAAACAATAAATCGAACAATTATCTGGATGGTTATCATAATAATACCATAACATATCCTACAGAATACAAACTTTCATGAAAATACTGCAATTAAAATAAAATGTTAAAATCTGAATATCAAAGTCTATCTGCAAAATTAATTATCATAAATTGACAACACCTTTTATAGAAGAAACATGCACGTGGAAAAAAGAGCCGATGTACTGTATTGTCTGAAGGAATTTGTAGCTAGAACAGCTTTGCAAACTATTGACTGAATTCTAGCTAAGGTCTCGTTGGGAAAACTAGTGCATACTCTTTCTAAAGGATAAACTAAGATTCGGTAGGTTCATATTAATTAAGAAACAATTGCATTGACTCGTTTTATTAAGTTGTCTTGATTCGTTAAAAAACAGACAGGCACGCGGCTGTCCTGTGCGCACATGCGCACTACAACGTGTTGCATAAACGCGGAATCGGCGGTTCTCAATCTCAAGGAGCAGTTTATGTAGTTTATTAGTAAACTCTTTGCTCAGTTTCTAAGCAAAGTGTCCTTGTGTCTGTAACCTATTTCTCATTAAACACATTTCCTTAAGTTACAAAAGTCATTCAAACATGAGTGACGATAATGAAAGAGACAGTAGGAAGATGAAAAGAAAAACAGGTCCGGATGATTTAAAGGCGCCTGGGAAGAAGAGACAGAAAATAAAAGACAAAAACGAAGAAAAGAGCGTCGCAGTGAAGAAATCAGACGATCTATCTATCTATCTTAGTGGCATCAGCGTTGGTGAACCTTTATGTACTACGTTTTCACATCTTTTTCACATTTGCTTCACTTTATCAACAAGCATATTATTATATACTATACTATACTATAGTATATACTATACTGGCATAGTCTTTATTAAAACAAAATCAAAATCGTATTACGCCATACCGTTTCAACTTTTTTTCATTTCATTAACTAGAATAAAAAATAAAATAACTAATATTTATTGTATTTTTTTTCTATTACTAGTAAATGTTGTTTAAGTTTTATAATTAGTAGGTAAGTGAGTTTCTTTTAAAGGGGTCATATGATGTTGCTTAAAAAAACATTATTTTATGTATTTGGTCTAATGAAATGTGTTTATGCGGTTTAAGGTAAAAAAAAAAAACACATAATTTTCCACATACTGTACATTATTGTTTCTCCGCTATGCCCCGCCTTTCTAAAACGCGTCGATTTTTACAAAGCTCATCGGTCTGAAAAGCAAGGTGTGCTCTGATTGGCCAGCTATCCAGTGCGCTGTGATTGGCCGAATACCTCAAGCGTGTGACGGAAATGTTACGCTCCTTGCCATATTGTGATGCTGGAGCGACGAGACAAAAACATTAAAACCCATTATAAACGAGGCATTTGTTGCATCCAGTGGGGACATAATTACGGATTATAATGACGTATACTGTATGTATACGTATACTGTCTTTTTACGCGTTGCATTGCATCGCACCGCGTAAACATAAAACCATGTCTGCATTTGTGATCGGAGAAATGACAAACTACAAACGCTACTCTACACTGCTCAAAATTCGCGTTTGAATCGTCAGTGGCAAATTCTTTAAATATAAAAAACGTACTTACAGTCTGTGAGTCAGAACAGCTAGACATGTGGGGGCGTGTTTTAGCCGTTTTAGGGAGGCGTGGTTGACTCTTAACTTTTATAAAGAATATCTCTTTGGATTTGAGACTTTAGTCTTTGCAACTTTACAGATCTTCTTTATGCACCAAGAGCTTGTAACACTCCAAAGAGAAAGGAAAAATTGAAATTGCATCATATGACCCCTTTAAGGCCATTAGACACAGTAACTTCTTTAACCTCAGGTGTCATAATGGTCGCAGGTGCAGCAGTAATTCTACTGATCTGAGTGCTCACAAAATACCCTGTACTCACTCACATATCTTCATTTAAGGCAAAGATTGTCTCTTGTCTCTCAATGCACTTGTCCTCTGAAGAGCGGTGGACATTTCAAGTCATCAAGTAAATTTAATTTGGATGTGGTCAAAAGTGATCCGACTAGTTGATTTGTTCACTTTGCAATTAGTTTGTCCATTAAAACCAATTAGATTTGCCCACTGACAGTATGCATGAGAGGCAAGCATTATTGTGTTGACAGGGTAATCAGCCAATCATAATGACGAGGAGAGCCAATCAGTGCAGTAGAAGCGTTTGCACCAATCACATGACAAGGCTGCATCCAAAATCGCATACTACCCTACTGTATGGTAGGTGAAAAGCAGTATGTGACAAAATAAGTATGCCTGAATTCGCAGTACTGATAAAAACTGATGTTGGTAAGTCACGTGACAATGGTGAATGCAGTAGATGACATTCATACTAGACACGTTCATACTATATAGACTAGAGCATACTCTTTTTGTGGTTGCAAAGTAATTACTTATTCAAAAAAGTGCCTACTCAAGAGAGTATGCGATTTCGGATGCAGCCTCAGTTTTAGGAAATGTGAACACCTGAGCTCAGTGGAGTCAAAAGTAACACTTCCTTGCTTTTTGAAAATTTACCCACTAAATTTTGGACAGTGTTAGTTGAACATTATATGATCTCATGCGTAATATTATTATTATTTTACTCTGCATTTTTTTCTCATCCAACACATTTTCTTATCCACATTTGCAGAAGAAAATAGAATTTATATATATAAGTTACTTAATATATATTAATGTATGTTCTTGACAGACAGACAGTTGTTATTTTGCACTTTTCCTTATCGTAATTTACATATTTTATATTTATGTTTCAGATATGAAGGCTTTTTAGGCTAGCCAGATTATTTAGAGATTGTGTTTTGTAATGTGTTTTTCTCTGATCCTCAGGTCTCATTGGTAAAGCTGACTCTACAAAAACTAATGTGACGCTTTCTAGCAAAGACAAGGACAAAGGGAAAAAAAATAAATCTGCCCACTCAACAGACTGGTCTGAGGATGATAAGAAAAACGACTCAGATGGTGGCAAAAATACCTCTGAAATAAAGAGGAATGAGAAAGGACAACTTGTGTTTAAAGGTGAAGTTAAGTATGTTTTGTGGTTTAGGTTTATGATTTATTCATTCATTTATTAATTCACTAATTTTTCATTTTTCTGTTGTTGCAGACCACCCAGAGTTCACACCTAACATGTCTCCTAAAGAGGTTTTACAGGCCGGCAGTTTTGGGGGTACCTATTTTAGGCCCATCTACTCCAGTATCACAAGTATGTCTCACTGTGATCAGTTGTTAGCTTTAATTATTGCACAATGGAGACTTTAAATGCTTTGTTAAATAATGAAAGAACATTTGTTTAATTGAAATTGTCTTTCTTTTCTTTTTTTCTTTTTTTTTTCTTTTTTTACAGCATTTTCAATTTTATGCCCATTTACAGAGTGGACTTTATCTAAGTCATCTAAAAGTTACAGCCAATTGGTTTTCAAAGTCACATAAATAGTTAATTAAGATCTATTGTATGGTGGGGTCAGTATTGTGATAGAACTGGTGAGAGGAAACAACACTGAAGATGTTACACGCTCTAATGACTGAGATTGGCTGCAACAAACAAATGCTGTCTGGACGCTTCACCAGTTACTTCTGTGTGAGAAAGCCACTGTTAAAATGTCATAAGACATCTACGATTTGCCAGAAGGCATGTGAGAAACTATGGTCTGATGAGACCAAAATTTAGCCTTTTGGCAATCAGATTAAACACCATGTTTGGTGTAAGCCAATAACTGCGAATCCTTCGAAGTATGACACTAGGAACATTATGCTATGTGGCTGTTTCTCTTCAACTGGCCCTTATGAAGGTAGTGGGTAAAATAAATGCAGCAAACTACAGGGACAAAAATTATGTGATTTGGGAGAAGATTTATTTTACATGAACACAGTGACCATAAATCAAAAGACATAAATCTAAAGCTACACAAGGGTTAATGGGTTAAAAACATGAACGTTAATGGTCCTGAGTGGCAAAGCCAGACTCTAAATCTTAGTTGAGGAATTAAGGGTAGACTTAAAGAAATAGCTCATCCCAAAATGAAAATTTGTTGAAAATTTACTCAGGCCGTCCAAGATGTAGATGAGTTTGCTTCTTCATTGGAACAGATTGGAGAATTTTGGCATTACCTCACTTATTCTCCACTGGATACTCTGCAGTGAATGGGTGCCGTCAGAATTAGTACAAACAGCTGATAAAAGCCCCACAATAATCCACAAGAAGTCCACATGACGTCAGTTCATCATTTAGCATCTTGGAAAGCAAAAGCTGCATGCTTGTAATAAATGTATCCTTCAACAGGACATTTTTTAAAACTTCAGACCATTGCTTCTGGCTGAAATATAAATATTCCATTCATAATATTACAATCTCCAGTGAAAAAGTTGTCTCGTCTAAGTCCACAGATCAAGCACAGTTTACGAGCAAAAACATTCCAACACTGTTAGTGTGTAAACGAATATGTTGGTGGATTTTGATGTGAGAGGACAACAGGGGATGGGCATTTTCAGTGGAGAAAACATTACTATGAATAATGGCCAACGGTTTAAATTTAAAACACCTTAATGATGGATTTGTTTCTTACATGTTACTTTTTTCACTTCACAAGATGTTAATTAATGGACTGGAGTGGTGTGGATTACTTGTGGATTATTGTGATGCTTTTATCAGCTGTTTGGACTCTCATTCTGACGGCACCCATTCACTGCAGATGATCCCTTGATAAGCAAATGATGTCATTTTCATTTCTGAAGCTATTCTGAACTATTCTTTTAAAAACAGCTGTCCACTTATCTCTCTGCAACTTGACTGAGCTTGAGCAGTTTTGCTAAGATGAATTGGGGAGAAAGTGTAGTGGCAAGATGTGCAAAGCTGATAGAGACCTGTAAGACGGTAACTGCTCCCAAAGTCGCATACACTGAGTACAGCTTTAGCTTATGGAACTGTAAAATGTAAAATTGTAATACATTTTGACCAATTTGAAGAACTGCATTTTCACTTGGACAAGTAAAAAGAAAATAGTAGCTTTAAGGGTCAGGACAGGCAGAAAAAGTTTCAGTTGTTTACTGTACTTTCTGCTTAAAAAGTCTTCACAAGTCCTTCAGACATGAGCAAGGAACACAGGACAAGTCTTTACTTCTTTTTTTTCTTCTTTTTTTTTAACATTTCTGCCTGTCCACAACTCTTTTGGCAGTCAGAGAGGTTGGTTATGCACTCAAATGTCTAACAATAGTTCTGCACTCAACTGTAAATCTTAAAGTATTCATAAGAGTGTTTTTTTTTTTAAACAGAGCAACATTACAAAGATGTTTGGCAGGAGATTCCCAAAGACTGGCTGGATGGGCTAAACATCTCTAAACAGGTGCTAATCGTTATCATTTCATTAGCATTAGCACATAGCATTTCAATACTAAACACTTTTGTCAAAGTTAACATAAACATGTTCATTATGAGTGTCTATAGCAGATAAAAGAGCTGAATGTACTCTCTTTGTGTGTATGATTTATGCTGTTGACTCATCTTTTTCTCCATTTTGATCGTAGATCACGGTAGAGACCTCAATTGACTGTTGTGTATTAGTACTTGTTTTTATGATCATTATTAATATAAGTTTTACAGCTCTACTGTTATTTTTTATGTGTTATTTGCCTTATGTTGTTTTATGCAGCATTTTATGTCAGCAGATTAACCGGGTCATTTGAGTGGTTTTATTCCTTTAGTTTGAAGCTCAGGGCTATGAGCATGTGACGAGACTCTCACGCAAAAGGGAAAAATCATAAAAGTTTATGTAGCAACAAGACCTTGCTTGCACTTGATACAAATTAATGAATAGTTGATTGCCACAAGCTGTAGTTGACAACACCTAGATTGCCACAAGCCAGCAATCATTCACAGTTGACAAAAACAGCATATTCGGTTCCAACGTGGAGCTGCTGTTGTATGCATGTATTTGAGAAATAATTTCAACTTTGTGGATTTACACCATTGAGGGTTGTTTTTTCATTGTTTTTTTTTATTATTTGGGTTTATTTCAGGTGGCTTCATCCACATACAGGGAAAACGTGAACACCTATAATGTAAAATGTGGAGGCAGTCTAGATATGTGGGAAAGCAGTGGCTGGATTGTGCCCCAAGATCCATATGGCTGGTTCCAGTGGTACTGCAGGCAAGAGCAGCTGCAACTCACTATTAACTATTGTTCAGAAGTTTGGGTTTAAAGAGGTAATTTGTTTATTTAGCAAGGACATATTACATTAATCAAAAGTGGCAGGAAAGTTGCACAAAATGACATTGAAGTTCAAATAAATATTATTTTGACCTTTCTATTAATCAAAGAAAAAATGATCATAGAAAAAAAAAATGAAGCACCACAACTGCTTTCAACATCGATAATAAGAGATGTTTCTTAAACACCAAATCAACAAATTAGAATGATTTCTGAAGGATCATGTGACACTGAGGACTGAAGACTAGAGTTTACACATTCTTGTTCCATCTTCCCAGCAGGTTTTACCAGGGCAGGCGAACAGAGGACGATGCACGCCAGATCAGTCGCTGGGCCAAATGTGCAGGAGTCAAAGGTCGGTGGCGGCAGAATCTCATCACAAAAGTGGTCCGGTCTGGTTGTGCTTATGACAACCCCAGTGTTTCCCCGGTGGTCAGACAGACTCTGCAGCACTGGGGCTACAAACTCACCCTGGAGGACTATAAGGAAGGAGCAAAGAGAGTTAAACCCAAATAGGATTAACAAACTTCCAAATTGGCCTCATTCGATTGATCACATAGTGCAGAAGAAAGCTGGCCTTACTGCATGGAAATAAACTCACAAATCTGATTAAATCATTGATGCTTTGTGTGACTGAGGGACTTGTTTAGCTGAGTAGACCTGTGGTAATAGTACTGCTGTACTTGGTTCCCATTGGACGTGTTTTCTGTAAGCTGTTTTGGTAAACAGAAAAGTTAGAATAATGGTCTATTTTTAAAATTTGGATCCAAAGCAGAAGCAGGCATTAATTGTTTTTTCTTGTCGCAGTTGTACACTTGCGTGCCTTGGAGGAATGTGGAGAACGGATCTGCAATCGGATGTGGGCATTGTTACAATTATTTTTATTTTATTTTTTAGGTTTATTTTAAATACATGCTGAACATGCTTATCTATTTGACTTCACTCCGTGTCATATACAAACTTTCCATTCTGTCATCTCTGAATGGAGTTTATTAATGGAGTTTTTTTATTTAATTTTTTTTTGGTGACACTACACATTGCACCATTTGGTTTTTAGAAACAGGTGAAACTTAATCAGAAACATTTATTATATGGGTCATTTCTGTTATGCAGTACATTTTCATGCCCCTTGTATATGTATTGATATATCAGATATTAGTTGATATACTCGTTCTTTGATGTTTTATGGTATTGGTTGGTTTGTCTCACTTTCTATCCTATCAGATAATATTTCAGAAATGTATATGATGATATATAAAAATCAAACAATTTTAAAACCAATTCTAAAAATAAACTTGACAGGCTCATATAAATGAACCCCAAATCCCTCACTTCAGTTACTCAGTTACAGGTGCCTGAGAGTGACCAGATAAAAAGTTACATTGGTTTATTTATTTTAATTGAAATCGACACTGGTTTTGTTGATTGCGCTTCTTTTGTTCAACACTGGTCGGCGCTACTCCAGGAGTTCCCCATTTTTACATTAGCATTTCTCAATCCACGCCGCTCACTAACTTGTTTTTTTCGTCATTTCCTACGAACAACAACCAACTTTGGCCTACTGGGTTTAAAAACGACGACAACCAATGGAACATTTGGAACTCGTAAACGTCATTTTATTGACGTGAAATTGACCAATCGACACCGTCAAAGCGTACGCCGAGAAACCTGCGCCAGCCAATGAGCAGCTAGATCAGGCAGCAGTTCAGGTGTACGGCGTTCAGCCCCTCTCCTCTTTGTGATCAACGCTGCGTGTGTTACTGGAGCGGATTAAATACTCTTATAAAAGGTATTTAGACGTTAGTATGACTTTTGTATTGTATGCATATGATGAATGCTTTCATTTATGAATGAATGTGTTTGCGCATATGAGCTGGAGACGAATCCGGGCCATTTGCCGTGTTGAGCGTATTTGCCCGGCCCGGCTCCGCTTTGCAAACCCATACACGATTATTAATGAAGAAATCAGACAATTAATAATGTAAAAATGCATGTACTAAGCTACACTCACTAATGTTCGTAATTCAAGCTTGAAATCTTAACAGTGAACAAAGCATACGTTAGCGTACATAACGAAGAATCAAACATTCATCGAAAACAAAGGCCAAATTGCACCCACCAATAAAGAAATCATCTGTTAAAACACTCATTAATTAAGGCATTGGACGTTAAATGTGCATCTTATTTCTTCGTTAAAAGTATAATTCAAAAAACATGCCCAATGCTAAATATACTTATATTTAAAAGCTCTGTTGTCCTATTTTATTGTATAACCTAATGAGATGAATAATTTGTTGATTTTCAGTGTCTCTTGTTCATGTGTGTTGTAGAATTTGTCATTAAGCATTTCATGAAGTCTGCAATTAAAGGATGCTGTATTGTCAGTGAATCACCTTAGAGCATCCAGAACAACATCCATCATGGCCTTGTTTACACTTTTGAATGAGCCTTATTCTTCTTCGGTTTTAAAAATCAATGAAATCAAGTTTGTATTGATGTTCATGTGCCTTAATAGATGCAAGGAAACAGAGGACCCCGTTCAGAGCAGCAGAATCACGGCCCACCCCGACAGCAACCCAACCCCCAACAGGAACATCAGAGGAAGCCCTCAGGAGCCGACAGCAATGGACAACACACTGATGCTGGAGAGCAGAGCAGCCCGAGTAAGTAACAGTTGAGGGCTGATGGGACAGATCTTTGACTTTGTTAAAGCCATAGTTGCTGACTGAACCTTCTCTCCTGCAGATGCTGCTTTCACTATAGACCTGCAGAACTTCAAGAAGCCAGGTGAGAAGACCTACACGCAGAGGAGCAGGCTGTTTGTGGGGAACCTGCCCACTGGAACCTCAGAGGAGGATGTGGAGAAGCTCTTCTCCAAGTATGGAAAACCTTCTGAGATTTTCATCAACAAGGAAAGGGGCTTTGGCTTCATCAGGCTGGTGAGTTTGAAAGAAAATGAAGCAGAAAGTGACTATGGTTGTTTATTTCAATGAGACTGACCTGACAAAGTTTATTCATAACCCCAAATTTTTTTTTTTTTGGAATTTGTTCAACTACATTTTTAGTTAAAGATCGTATTTTCATCAGGGGTTTTGCAAGTCTTTAAAGGTCTAAATTCTCTTTTCCACATTTAAGGTCTAAAGAGGTATTAAATCGGAGCAGAAAGTCTCAAATTGATAAATTCATGGCGTTAAATGTTGCATCTCTTGCAAAAAATTAATATATCTTCCTTAGCATTTTTGCTTTGTTTTCTAGTATAAATGTCTAAACATCTTTAAATCAAGATACATTAACTTAAGGTGCAAATTGAAAATATGATGTCTTGTTTTCTAAAAAACTATGCTTAAAACAAGAACAGATAGCTTGGTATGAAAACTATTTTGCTTCTCAAGAAAATGTATCTTGATTTAAGAATCTCTCTTAATTTAAGTGGTATTTTACGACTTTGAAGCATTGCCAAGAGAAGACATTTACATTTAGAGACCATATTGACATATTGTGTTCCATTCAACTTGTTCCTGAAATTTTTCTTACTTTCAATTCACCTTCATAAAACCTGCAGAAACCATATTTTGTGCATTTTCATGTTTTTTTTTTCCAATGATGTATGTATGTCTCGGTTCTCAGACAGCAAAGCACCAATGCAACATTAACCCTGACCTGCTGCTCTCTTCTCATTAGGAAACAAAGACTCTTGCGGACATAGCGAAAGCAGAACTGGATGACACTGTGTTCCGAGGTCGCCAGATCCGTGTGCGTTTTGCCACTCACGGCGCTGCGCTGACGGTCAAGAACCTGCCTCAGTTTGTGTCCAACGAGCTCCTGGAGGAGGCCTTCGCCATGTTCGGTCCGATCGAACGGACCATTGTCATCGTCGATGATCGTGGCAGGCCAACTGGGAAGGGCATTGTGGAGTTTGCCAACAAACCCTCTGCCAGGAAAGCTCTGGACCGTTGTGGAGATGGAGCCTTCCTTCTCACCACGTGAGTGTCTGCGGCTTTCATTTTATTTAATTGTGTGTGTTAGTGGTAGTTGGTTTACTAAAGTTTGCCTTTCTTTCCCAAACTCAGTTTCCCCAGGCCTGTTACCGTTGAGCCGATGGAGCAGCTTGATGAGGATGAAGGACTTCCTGAGAGACTTATTAACAAAAACGCACTATATCACAAGTGAGTTCATGTTCTCATATGCATTGTAAACCGTTATGTGCAACCAAATGGTTACCCAGGCTTCCTGTAAATATTAAAAATAGTGTTTTTCAGATCTGGAGAGGTTTTGGAAACTTACAAAATCATAAAAAGTAATGTGCACTAAAATATTTTATTTAATAAAAATTGTAAATGCATACTTTATCATTTTTTTTATGTATCCTTTAAGTATTTAAACAACAAAAAAATGCTCGAAGAGGTGTGGGCTATGATTTTATAATAGGATATTATGTTATAATTAAAGAAGAGTTGATCAGAAGAACAAAGTGGAAGGGCCTCACTGTGATTAATGACTCTTTAAGTGTACATTATCCCACTTATTACATGGCTACCCACCATACACATAAACTTTCTCTATCTGTCCATCAGAGAGCGCGAGCAGCTGCCCCGGTTCGCTCAGCCAGGCTCGTTTGAGTATGAGTATGCTATGCGCTGGAAGGCCTTAATGGAAATGGAAAAGCAGCAGTTTGAACAGGTTGATCGAAACATCAAAGAGGCCCAAGAGAAGCTGGAGACTGAAATGGAAGCAGCACGACATGAGCACCAAGTCATGTTGATGAGACAAGGTGATGCACACGGGTTGCCATTTTTTGGGGGATGGTTAACCCCAAAATGAATGAACCACAAATTTTTTGTCAGCTGAACTCCTTTTGAGTTCAAATATTTGATTGAAATACCCCTCTAAGAATTCAAGTGAATATTTCTATCATTTAACACACATGTTAGCAGTGTAAATAAGTTAGAATGCAATGCGTGAAACGGCATTAGACACCCCCTTTAAAAATGTTGGATTGCATTTTTTAAAATATATTTATTATTATTTTATATTTTTATGATATAATAATTATCAGCTCTTTTATCAGCTGCATTTTGCTCACAAAACCCTAGTTTGGTAAACCCAGTTTTAGAGCTTAACAGGAAAAACTTTTCCTGCTACACAAGTTTAATAATTGATATGTTTGTGCCACCCATAAACTACATGACTTTGAAAGTTGTCTGTTCTTTTCAGACTACACAACTGACTGTTTTAGCGAAAGCACTTGAACTTACAGGACTCGAATTGCACACAAGTCTAGATATTTAATCTGCTAAATATCTCTTTGGCGTCAGCACTTCTCTCAGTTCACATCTTTGATCATTTAAACCGAGCAATCATTACTCTTGTGAACAAGCAAGTTTGTCTCTGACAAAGCACTTGCACTTACAGGACTCGAATTGCACACAAGTCTAGATATTTAATCTGCTAAATATCTCTTTGGCGTCAGCGCTTCTCTCAGTTCACATCTTTGATCATTTAAACCGAGCAATCATTACTCTTGTGAACAAGCAAGTTTGTCTCTGACAAAAAAGTTTGGCCTTTTGTCGATGATTTTCATTAAAACTCGGTGAGCGGAAAATCTAGGCTAAAATCATGTAATGTGTGGCATTAGTTGTTATGCAGTTTTCCATATTAAAACCTTTTTTGCACAAAATTTTCCTTTAATTCATCTTTTTTAAAGCACTTCTGATTACCATTCACATGGATGACAGTGGCAATTGTCATGTCTTGACCTGTTTTCAGTGTCTCATCACAATCATTGTTTTTAATGTAAGTGTAATTTCAAGTAAAAATCACATCTGTAGACCCCTTGCACTTTGTCTAGCAGTTTCTGAACCCAAGCATAGAACCTGAAACCGGACAATTCAGATGACTAGTAATTCAGGCAACCCTGTAGATTTGCACATCCCTAATCAGCAATCACACTGCACTTATTCATGTCTGTTTCTCTCTTTGTTTTAGATCTCCTGCGCAGACAGGAAGAGTTGAGGAGGATGGAAGAGGCTCATAGCCAGGAGGTGCAGAAACGGAAACAGATGGAGCTGCGTCAGGAGGAGGAGCGGCGGAGGAGAGAGGAGGAGCTCCGTGCTCACTCTGAGGACCTGATGAGGAGACAGCAGGGGCAGGGAGGCAACTTCTCTGAGAAAGTGAGTCTGGGGTTTCTAAGCTCCACAGTTATTTTCTGCATTTCTGAGGATTTTTAATTTATGGGCTTGTTTGCTTTTTCAGAGGGATCCAGACATGAGGATGCATATGGGAGGTGAGAATCGCACTCAAACACTCTCAGTAATTAACAACACTGAACTCGCGCTTAGACTACTGAACATTTTAAACACCAGTGTCACAGCAAGAATTGCTAAACCCACATGCTGTGCTGAAAATGTACCTACCTAATTTGGTGTTCCTGGTTAAAAATTGTTTGTCAGTCTGTCTCATCATTCTATAAAATCACCAAGTCTTGGATTTAATCTTTTTGTCAACCCCTTTTCTATAAATTAGCACAGGTTTTGTATTTCTTTTTTAGAACTGATCGTCAGCCTAATTAATCTGAGCTTATGCAACAAAAAAAAACAAAAACATTATTTGTGGATAATATCGGCAATGTTCACTCAAATGCCGTGTATAAACACAGATCAACGAGGCCTATGATCAGTTAGTTCCAAAAAGAAATACAAAACCTGTGCTAATTGAAAGAAAGCAAGTTGATAAAAAGATTGCACCCATTATTTGGTAATTACATTGAATACCGGGAAATTTATAAGCTTTTTTTGAAGGACGGTAATTCTTGACCGGAAACATCAAAAGTTTAACAATGGGAGGAAAATATCCCAAGAAGTACAAAAAATCTAATTCTTTTGGGGAATTGTTATATAGTGTATGAGCGAAGTCAGTAAGTTTGAGTGCAATGCGCTAACTAGCATTTTCAAGAAAAAAATTACGCGAACACAACACGAGGGGAGTCCTGTTGTTTTGCCCTACTTAAGATGTAGAGAAAATGCATGGTACATGATTGGTCTTTTTTTTTTTTTGGGGTTCTGTAACAAAATACTATATATGTTCTTACTTGTCAGGTTTGTGTTTTTACCCATTTGAACGTAACATTTTTTTTTCTTTCTTGGGGGTGAAAGGTCAGGGAATGGCCATGAACAGGAACCCGATGGGTGGAAATACCACAACAGCAGGGGCTTCCAGCTTGGCTTCTAGTGAGGTATAGATTTCTCAACGCACATTGACAACTTTCAGTTCAACATGCGAAGTGTACAGTATGTAATCTTCTGTCTTGGTCTCTTTCAGCAGGGGGCTGCCGGTAATCCAGGTGGTCTCCCTCTTCCCTTCCCTCGTCCTGGACCTCCTGTTGACTTTGGCCCCAACAAACGCCGCAGATTCTGAGACCACCAGCCAAAAGTCATTCGCTTTGTTTTTTTGTTTTGTTTTTTTTAACATACTGTAAAATATTTTTAAGTGCATATTGCGGTTTTGTAGGACCTGTGTATACATTTCACATTCACAAATGAAATTGTGTAGGCAAATGTAAACAGGTTGAAGTGTATGTTTTAATTTACCCTGTAAGATCTATCCATCCCCAGCAGGAGCCTCAAGGGACTGTTTCCAGAAAGTCCAGCTTTGGGGACCCTTATGCTTATGATTTCTGACTGAAGATGCTTCATCTATGGGCGAGGGTTTATCTGTGCATGGAAACAGCTCCTGGCTGGACATTCAGCTTTGTATAGCCCTATTTTTTTCTTTTTTATTAATTTCTTCTCTTTTGTATTTCACCCAGCAGTGACCTTTTCTAAAGTAGAGATTAGCTTTTGTCCATCTTGTCCCTCTGCAATGCTTGCCTTTCTAGACAACTTTAAATAAATTCATAACTACATGTTACATACTGTCCAGTGTCGCTGGCAGCATTCATGGATTACATTTTGTGATTTGTCTTTGTACAGCTGTTACAAAGAAGGAAAGACACAACATAAATTTTAAAACGAAATTGTCTCCTATCCATTCAATCGCTAAAAGGTATGGAAAAGAATTATAAAAGTAGTTCAATGTACCACTTATGTTTATATATATATACCCACCCTTTGTCTTCTAAACCACCTTGAACTTTTTGACTCCATTGTCCACAACAATATTCAAGGCCCCCCTCATGTAGGCTAATAGATTTCCTTTGGTACATCTGCTGTAATGCTGAAAAAATTGTCTTCAAAACTTTAATTTACAGAAACTCTGGCTGCATCCAAAATCACATACTTAACTACTATATAGTAGGCGAAAAACTGTGACAAAAGTATGCCTGAATTCACAGTGCTCATAAAAGAGTAGGCAAAAAGTACCCAGATGACCTAATACTGTACTTCCAGTCTAGATTAAGTGTGTGTACAATGGACACTTTACTATCTCATGAGGCCACGGCAGAGGATGCTGGTAGGTCACGTGACAATGACAACATGGTGAATGTAGTACGTGCAGATTGCATTCATACTACACGCATTCATACTATATAGAACATACTCTTGCAGTCGTGGAGTAATTACTAAATCAAAAAAATATGTTATTGTGGATGCAGCCTCTGTCCATAGATAAAAATAAGTAACAAATATCTGTAATAAAAATGTAAAAAAAAAAAAAAAAAGTGTTTTAAGAATTCCAGGTTTAAAAGCTGAATGTTCTTCAGGAATCACTCTTTAACAAATTCTTTACGCAGGTAGGTCTCTTGAAGCATCTTGGAGCCGTTGCCGCAGATCTTCTAGATTTAGTCTGTCTCAGTTTGTTCTGTTTCTTCATGTCATTCCAGACAGACTGCATGATTATCAGATCAGATCTCTGTGTGGAGCACTGGCTGTTGTCAGACAAAAATCTCACTGGATTATTACAATTAATGGCAAATGAATGTTTGGAAATGTAAACTGATATACTGACACACTACAGCAAAAGATACAAATAACTGAATTAAGTGGCATATTAAAAGTGATAATGTCAATATATAATGGAATATTTTTGAGTTATAGGGTTTCTTTGTTACACAGCTGTTAAAATTATTCAACATTGCTGTTTAAAGTCAGTTTGTTTGGTAGGGTCCAAAATTGTGTTAAGAGACAATTAAGCCTTTGGAAACACTATAACTGAATTAGCTTGAGCTGTTACACGTACATTTATTTAGCCCATGCATGTGCTAAAGATGAGTATGGCCAAGTCAAAAAAGCTCTCACAAAAGCTATAAAGAAGAAAATGTTCTCTTACATTAGAAAGTCTATGGCTACAGGAAGATTTCAAAGAGTCTAAAAATTCCTAGAGACACAGCTGGCAGCCTTATACGTTTCAAATGCGTTGTACCAGAAAACCTTTGAGGAAGAAAACGCACAATATCATAAATTGTTGGATTAGAGCAACTGAGAAAAACTTTCGATTCACTGCCAAGACTCGCAAGATGACCTGATCAAAGCTGAAAAACATTTCAATGCAAATGAATAAACATGCTGAGACACTTGCTGAAAGGCCATTCTTGACCAAGAACGCCCAAGAAGAACATAAAAGGCCAACTTTGCTAAAATTAGTTTCGATTGGAGTTCTGGAGGAATGTTTTATGGAGTGATGTGACCAAACTGGAACTTTTTGCATGCATGGATCAGCAGTATGTCTAATGTAAAAAAGGAAATCTTTACTAAATGAAGGGCACGTAATTGAATAGTCACATAACACTATTTACTTCAGAAAAGACAACCATATATATACATATATATGAAAGTGAAGTGACATGTGGCCAAGTATGGTGACCCATACTCGGAATTAGTGCTCTGCATTTAACCCATCCAAGTGCAAGTTTTTTGTTGCGCGCATATGGGCCCTGGGCTCATTTATAATACACATGAATACATAAAACACAAACAAAATATATAAAATACTAAATACGTATACAAGACGCGTCACGCAAACACTATCTAGATTGATCCGCCCATTCCCACCCACAACCCACATTATGGGGGTGGTTTTAATACTTACTTTAGCAAGAGCTATACATAAGAATAGTATTAAAATGTTATATACGACGAAATGGCAGGTAAGATTAATTAATATAAATAATATATGTGTGTGAGTAAGAAAAGTTAATTTGGAGTCTATATGACGAATATTTTTTGAATAAATGAGAAGAATTATGAGATGGAAAGTGAAAATAAAAAAACAACTAAAGTTTACCAGTTAAAGAAGACTTGAGGGCGCCGTTTCAGTTTTATGGTCAAATTTAAGGCATTTAGCAGACAGACAAAACTGCGACTGAAAATATTTTAGATTTACATGTTAGATTTATGTAACATATGCAAGAATGACATTCAGAACTGTGAGAAAATATTATATTAATACATTGTACGTATAGGCCTACTATTGTGGATGGTTGTAACATTTTTGACATTTCTGTCTGTATCTTAAACCCGTGCGCTCAAAATATGAATCAAACTATTTACAACTGTTTACTATTACAGTTTTTCAAAATGCTTACACACAGTTTTTGAAACTATGCCTCCATTTCTCAGAACTCTACACACAGAACCACAAAACACACACACAACATACAAAACGTCACACACATTTTGCAATAGCAAACACTTCTATGAAAACTTTTAACTTGAGCTGTAGATTGACACTATTTACTTTACAGCAGAATGTGAATTTGATACTATTGTGAAGCTGCTGTGAAAATCTATATTGTATAAAGCACTTTAGAAATAAAGATGACTTTCTGACTTGGCTTGTATGCAAGCATAAGTTAGTTTTATTTATAAAGCGAGTTTTTATTACTAAGTGAACAAATTATTTATAAGTGTTTTCACACATAATCGCTGTGTGTAGGTCATCAGTAAATGAGTGTGGCATAAAAATGGCAGTGTTTCCCAAATTACACAAAAGAGCTTTTAGTTTCAATTGTTGTGTGTAATGTAGAGAACTGTGTTTAGAGTTTGCAAAAAGTTTGTTTTACAATATCAAACTGAGTTTAAAGCATGTAATGTGCTTATAGTTTAGCAGAGTTGGTCTAAAGATTAGATATATGAGTGAATGGTTTCACAAAGTGGGCCTCAAGTATCACTTTTAGTGTCTAAGTAATTAAAAAAAAACTGTAAATGTTATATTTGCAGCACAAACAGAAAATGCATGCTTTAGTTTTAATTATGAAATGTTACAATTCACCACATAGTCTGGGTTAGTTGTAACATACCCTGCGGTGAGATTGTACAACAAGGATTATGAAAAAAAAAATAATAAAAAGGATTTTGAAAGCTTTTTATTCAACACTGACTTTTCAACATAATGTGTGTGTGTGTGTGTATGTAACTGAATAAAATGAGCAAATTTGTGCCAGCTTCAACAATTGTGTGTATGTGTGTTACATAGCATTATGAACTAGCTCACCTTACAGCTAACAGCCAAAACATTAGCACTAACAACCTGCATGAACAATATCTACACACTGTACACAGACACACAAGAAACATAATTTTACTTTGATGAGTTTAACTACAAAGCATGGACTGCCATCACAACAATAAATGATGTATAAAAAGATACATCTTTCTTACCTCAAAATTAATTGTTCTCCTCTAAAATCTGCTAGATCTGCCACAGGGCTCTACTTCCTCACATGTGGAATAAGGACTAAACTGAGAATAGTTGAAGTGAATTAGGTGATTTGTATTGTGTTCCCTATTTGAGAAATTGAAAGTGTTGCAACTGACCTGTGTGCAACTGACCTTTGTTTTTTTTTGTATGAAATGTGTTTTGAATACATAACGAAACTCAACAAAAAGATATAGAAAAACTAAAAATAAAACATATATAATATATATAATAAATACAAATTAATAAAAAACTCAAAACCATGAGAACCCTGGATGAAATTATTGTTAGCATGATGTCACATTGTTTACTGGTGTATGAAGCCATCTGATGTTCATTACTGTTGTCTTCTATTAGGCTCACAACACATCAGCTGTGTTCTACACACAGACTTGTTGTTGTGCGCAGCACATTGTATACAGCCAATTCAAGGTTGTTGTGTACAGCTTATTGTAGCTAGTAAAAAAAAATGTGTTCATGCAGTACAAGCGAAGCAGCCTTACTGTTTCCAACATGTCCTTCCTTCTGTCAAGGCTGACACACATTAATGAGGCACAGAACACATACAGACTTCATCATTATGAGCTTCAGGAAGAAGATGAGGAGGGGTTTCACACTCTCTCCCCTCTTTTTCCCTCCATTATGGGATATATTTGAGAGATTACATATGTCACTTATTTGGGTGCTAATTTGGCAAATAAACATGTTTCACATTCAATACATCTGACTCGCCCTAATCAGGCCTCTAGTGAATACCTACCGCATGCTCTCTGCAATGCATTATGGGAGGAAAGAGACTGTGCCTTGTGTCAGTGTTTCAGTTGTTTACTGTGTCGTATTGTGCGTCCAGTGCTGTGTAGTGTTGTCACACTAGTAAAACATTGTCCTTTCTTATGCCAGTCAACTGATTAAGGCCACAGGGAGTCACTGGGCAATAAACACAATAAACAGAGACCTTGATGAAAACACTTTCAACCTTGTCTCGTAATATGATTTTATTTATTTTTTTTCTGGCACACGTGGCAAAAATTGTTTACTTCTTGTTCTTTAAAGGAATAGCTCACCAAAAAAAAATTACAATTTGCTGAAAATGTATCAAATGATATTCTGGAGTGAATGGGTGCCATCAGAATTAGAGTCCAAACAGCTGATAAAAACATCATAATAATCCACAAGCAATCTACACCACTCCAGTCCATCAATTAACATATTGGAAAGCGTAAAGCTGAGTGTTTGTCAAAACAAATCCATTGCATGATGATCAGATCAGATCTCTGTGTGGAGCACTGGCTGTTGTCAGACAAAAATCTCACTGGATTATTACAATTAATGGCAAATGAATGTTTGGAAATGTAAACTGATATACTGACACACTACAGCAAAAGATACAAATAACTGAATTAAGTGGCATATTAAAAGTGATAATGTCAATATATAATGGAATATTTTTGAGTTATAGGGTTTCTTTGTTACACAGCTGTTAAAATTATTCAACATTGCTGTTTAAAGTCAGTTTGTTTGGTAGGGTCCAAAATTGTGTTAAGAGACAATTAAGCCTTTGGAAACACTATAACTGAATTAGCTTGAGCTGTTACACGTACATTTATTTAGCCCATGCATGTGCTAAAGATGAGTATGGCCAAGTCAAAAAAGCTCTCACAAAAGCTATAAAGAAGAAAATGTTCTCTTACATTAGAAAGTCTATGGCTACAGGAAGATTTCAAAGAGTCTAAAAATTCCTAGAGACACAGCTGGCAGCCTTATACGTTTCAAATGCGTTGTACCAGAAAACCTTTGAGGAAGAAAACGCACAATATCATAAATTGTTGGATTAGAGCAACTGAGAAAAACTTTCGATTCACTGCCAAGACTCGCAAGATGACCTGATCAAAGCTGAAAAACATTTCAATGCAAATGAATAAACATGCTGAGACACTTGCTGAAAGGCCATTCTTGACCAAGAACGCCCAAGAAGAACATAAAAGGCCAACTTTGCTAAAATTAGTTTCGATTGGAGTTCTGGAGGAATGTTTTATGGAGTGATGTGACCAAACTGGAACTTTTTGCATGCATGGATCAGCAGTATGTCTAATGTAAAAAAGGAAATCTTTACTAAATGAAGGGCACGTAATTGAATAGTCACATAACACTATTTACTTCAGAAAAGACAACCATATATATACATATATATGAAAGTGAAGTGACATGTGGCCAAGTATGGTGACCCATACTCGGAATTAGTGCTCTGCATTTAACCCATCCAAGTGCAAGTTTTTTGTTGCGCGCATATGGGCCCTGGGCTCATTTATAATACACATGAATACATAAAACACAAACAAAATATATAAAATACTAAATACGTATACAAGACGCGTCACGCAAACACTATCTAGATTGATCCGCCCATTCCCACCCACAACCCACATTATGGGGGTGGTTTTAATACTTACTTTAGCAAGAGCTATACATAAGAATAGTATTAAAATGTTATATACGACGAAATGGCAGGTAAGATTAATTAATATAAATAATATATGTGTGTGAGTAAGAAAAGTTAATTTGGAGTCTATATGACGAATATTTTTTGAATAAATGAGAAGAATTATGAGATGGAAAGTGAAAATAAAAAAACAACTAAAGTTTACCAGTTAAAGAAGACTTGAGGGCGCCGTTTCAGTTTTATGGTCAAATTTAAGGCATTTAGCAGACAGACAAAACTGCGACTGAAAATATTTTAGATTTACATGTTAGATTTATGTAACATATGCAAGAATGACATTCAGAACTGTGAGAAAATATTATATTAATACATTGTACGTATAGGCCTACTATTGTGGATGGTTGTAACATTTTTGACATTTCTGTCTGTATCTTAAACCCGTGCGCTCAAAATATGAATCAAACTATTTACAACTGTTTACTATTACAGTTTTTCAAAATGCTTACACACAGTTTTTGAAACTATGCCTCCATTTCTCAGAACTCTACACACAGAACCACAAAACACACACACAACATACAAAACGTCACACACATTTTGCAATAGCAAACACTTCTATGAAAACTTTTAACTTGAGCTGTAGATTGACACTATTTACTTTACAGCAGAATGTGAATTTGATACTATTGTGAAGCTGCTGTGAAAATCTATATTGTATAAAGCACTTTAGAAATAAAGATGACTTTCTGACTTGGCTTGTATGCAAGCATAAGTTAGTTTTATTTATAAAGCGAGTTTTTATTACTAAGTGAACAAATTATTTATAAGTGTTTTCACACATAATCGCTGTGTGTAGGTCATCAGTAAATGAGTGTGGCATAAAAATGGCAGTGTTTCCCAAATTACACAAAAGAGCTTTTAGTTTCAATTGTTGTGTGTAATGTAGAGAACTGTGTTTAGAGTTTGCAAAAAGTTTGTTTTACAATATCAAACTGAGTTTAAAGCATGTAATGTGCTTATAGTTTAGCAGAGTTGGTCTAAAGATTAGATATATGAGTGAATGGTTTCACAAAGTGGGCCTCAAGTATCACTTTTAGTGTCTAAGTAATTAAAAAAAAACTGTAAATGTTATATTTGCAGCACAAACAGAAAATGCATGCTTTAGTTTTAATTATGAAATGTTACAATTCACCACATAGTCTGGGTTAGTTGTAACATACCCTGCGGTGAGATTGTACAACAAGGATTATGAAAAAAAAAATAATAAAAAGGATTTTGAAAGCTTTTTATTCAACACTGACTTTTCAACATAATGTGTGTGTGTGTGTGTATGTAACTGAATAAAATGAGCAAATTTGTGCCAGCTTCAACAATTGTGTGTATGTGTGTTACATAGCATTATGAACTAGCTCACCTTACAGCTAACAGCCAAAACATTAGCACTAACAACTTACATGAAAAATATCTACACGGACGCTGCATATACTGCAAAGCAGGGACTGCCATCACAAAAATAATGAAGTACAAAATGTATTCTCATATAAGATATGCAGTGTCTGCCATGGGCTCTACTTCCTCACATGTAGAATAAGGACTAAACAGAGAATGTGTGAAGTGAATTAGGTGATTTGTAACTTGCTCCTTATTTGAGAAATTGGAAATGTTACGTGACCACAACCATACCCGGTCTCCCCTTACATTATGCCTATGTGACAATAATAAGCTTATATTTAAATAACATATAGATGAACATTTGACTTACCAAAGTGCTTTCCTTTAGAAAAAGTCTTGGAACAACTTCGGATTAAACTGAAGGAAGGTTTGACCGAGGCCGTCATCAAAAATTTGTTGGATGATCTTCGGGTCAAGAAGGTGCTAGGAAATGAGGAGATTGAAGAAATAGTGCAGAAGACCAAACCGCGAGCCGATCAAGCTCGAGATCTGATTGATGGTGTGAGCAGAAAGGGGACAAAAGCAAGTGAAATTATGTTAGCATGCTTGAAGGACAGAGACAACTGTCTTTCCGACAACCTAAACATAGACAGCCATTTAGCAATTCCTGAAAGAGGAGCGACCTGTAGCCCTGCACCAGCGCCACACAGTACAACAGGTACAGCTACATGAAACATTTAGTAATCATGTTTACTTTTCATTTAAATATGTTATCACATTTCCTCTTTCGGTCCAGTTTTACAGTTTCAAAATGAACCACATTTTTCATAAAACATGTTTGTAGACTATTGTTTTTGTTGGTTTTGTGGCATTCATGAATATATTGAAAAAGATCTAACTTTAAAGACTTACTGACAATATCTTTTCCCCACAGACAAACAAAGCAATTTGGTCAGTGGAGTAAGTGATGCAACATGTTCTCATTATACATTTTCCCATGATTTCCCTTTTTTTCTCTAAATTTAGAAACATTTCAGACAGATTTCATTCTTGAATGTTGCTTGTGCTTTGTAACACTTGCTCTTTTGTTCCAGGATGAGGAGTACAAAATGGACAGTAATCCACGTGGACTGTGTGTAATTATTAATAACGAGAACTTTGTAGACCCAGAAAATAAACGAAACGGATCCCAAAATGATGTTGGTAGGCATTCGTTCACACACCGTTCACATACCATTCTTTTTTTAGAAGAGACGTATGACTTAAGAGATGCTTATTGTTTTGTTTTGTTTTTTGTCCTCTACATTTTCTTTCTTTCATTTGTTGTTGTAATTGCTCTGTGGATCTATGTATGGTTATGTTCTTAGCTTGATCTTTTATGCTTTTCTTTTATGTATTTCTCAGATTCTCTGAAGGCCATATTTGAATTTTTGGTCTTTCTGGTTGAAGTCAAGACAGACAAAACTGCAGATCAAATAAAAGCGCTTATGGCCAAATACAGTAAAGATGCTCGTCATGGAGACTGCTTTGTCTGTTGCGTAATGAGTCATGGAAATAAGAGTGGTGTCGAGGGATGTGATGAGCAAATATGTCCCCTGAATGACATCACCTCCCCATTTGATGGAGACAACTGTCCCGCTCTCATTGGCAAACCGAAAGTGTTCTTTATCCAGGCATGCAGAGGATGTGGGATGCAGAGTAAAGTGCTGGTTACAGATGGTGCTGGTGCCAGTCGTATCCAGAAATCTGGCAAAGTATACAGCATTGCCAAAGATTCTGATTTTCTGATTGCCCTGTCCACTGTGGAGGGATATGTGTCACTCCGCGATGAATACAGTGGATCATGGTTTATACAGTCCCTTTGCAAGCATTTAAAAGAAGGAAGTAAACGGTGAGCATCCACTACACTGGCCTTATTACATGCAGTAACACTTTATTTTAGGCCTCCTGTCAGTGTTTATATGTTAAATGGTTTCTTCTTTTATTTTTAGAGACCAGGACATCTTGAGGATCCTCACTAATGTCAATAACGATGTAAGCCGTGAAGAGGGCATTATAGAAGATGAGAACAATGATATAGTAGATGCAAAGATGACCCCTCAGCCCCAATTCACCCTGAGGAAGCTTCTTATTTTCAAAGCACCGAAGGTCAGAACTGTTTTTTTTTAAATTCCATAACAGAAATAAATTACAATTCTGTGCAGTGTATGTTATGATGTGTCAAAATCTGAAACATTAACAACTGAATATTGTTCTGTTGCAGATCTGCATCTTCTTAAACTAAAATGCCTAATGTTTTATAATGAAACATAGCCTAACAGCCTTGTGATTTCTGTAAAGCTTGTCGATCTGCATTTAGCAACATTTTGAATATAAAATATTTATCAAATAAAGCTCTCCATTCATTCCCCATTGTAGGGTCAGGCTGCTGCTTCTACACAGAAGAAAACAGGCTGAACATCCTCATCTTTCACCTGAAGAGGAAATCTTGCCATTAATATTCTAGAGAAGTCTATAGTATTCATCTATGTTTCCCCATATTTGTTATATTGGATTTTAGAATATGTGTACCACAGGAAAGTGGACCTTGAGGGCCAGAGTTGAGAGCCCCTGTTTTACAGGATCAGGATCATTTCATTTAAGACATCTGTGTTTAATCACAGCTTTCTTTAATTTCTTTAATAAATTACATCAAATTCTCTTACACTGCTTTTGAACTGTTTTGGCTGTCGACTAAAATCACCTACACTTATAATAACAGGACTGAATCCTATAATTCACATATGTTATGTACTTTAATTTACAGTAAACATTTCATTAAAACAGTGCAAAATTAAGTCTTGATGTCAATAAAATAAACTGTTATTCGTATTTTCATTATACAAAAGAATTTAATTTACAATAAACATTGCATAAAAACATTTAGTCTTGGTTTGGTTACAAAAAAAGTGTTATTCATCATCTCAGTATACATATATTTTATTAATATTTCTCTGGAAAACAAATGACAAGTACATAATCTCTGTAAGAAATCAACTGAAATAAAACGCTGCTGTTTTGCTTAGTTAATGATGAATGCCCCGAAATATGGAAACTGCAGCCTCCGTTATATTATCCCATTCGGTAGGTGGCGCTGTTACAAAAGAATAGGGTCCTAGAACTGCGGTCCTGAAACTGCAACCTCCGCTATATTATCCCATTCGGTAGGTGGCGCTGTTACAAAAGAATAGGGTCCTAGAACTGCGGTCCTGAAACTGCAGCCTCCGGTTGTGCAGGAACACCCTTCTCGCTGCTCACGCTGCGTGAGCCTCTGCCTCTTTAATAGCCGACGGTGAATTGATTACTTGTTTGATTAATTGATTAATTGTTGTGTTTTCTGACTTGTTATAATGTTTTCTGAATTGTTGTTGTGCTTTCTGAATTGTTATTGTGTTTTTTAGACTTGCATTTGCGTTTGTAATTTGTTATTTTGTTTTCAGAATTGTGATTTGTTTTGCACTTCTCGACCACCGTACACATCATTGCTAAATAAAAGTATTAATTTCTTTCAATAATTAAAAAAAATAAAAACATTTATTCACCCCAAATGTGATTTTTTTGGGTGTATATTCTTACAAAATATTTATATTGTAAATAAAGGCTGTTCTTTTTAACGTTTTATTCATTAAAGTATTCTGAAAAAAGTATCACAGGTTCCAAAAGCTATTAAGCAGCACAACTTAATCAGAAAGAAACTTTAACGTATAAAATTGTTATCTATCACAACAAAAAGTCCAAAAAAGTACCAATTAAAAACATTTGGAAAAACAAACAAACAAACAAACTGCCATTACTGGACATGATAGCTTTCATATTTTTGGTCTTAAATTAATGACAGAAAATTCTATTTTATTCTATAGCCTATTTCGATTGAACATGTTTAAATCTTTGGTGATTGTCAGCGTTGTTCATCGTCCGTTGGTGTGAATTAGCCTTTATATTCTTGCAACCATCCTTTTAGATTTTCAGTCTGCATATAAAAAATTGTGCGTGCGTTTGTTCTCAATTTGTTCTTAATGCAAAGCAAAAATTATATTTTTTTAAATAATTCAAGTTATTTATAAGTACAAAAAATGACTGAAACGCCAGTTGTAATAATACAAATTTAAATCACTTGCCTCTGTATGCCTTCTGTCTCTTGTCACACGACCTATTGCGTAGTTAAGGCGTATCCCACAAATAACCAATCGTCTATTGAGTAACGCTGATAAATTGTAACTGACAGAAACACTAACCAATTATTAAATAATCCGTCAGTGCCGGAGCCAATCAGTGCAGAAAGAGGGCGGGCCGTCAGCGGAAACCGGAAGCGCCTGTAGGAGCTGTGTGACCTGAGAAGGTCTCCGGCCTTGTGCTAGAGCTGCACTGTGAGCGTGGCTGTGAACTTCCCCAGGCTGTCTTTCCGAAAAGCACAGCAGAGCTGCGATGTTTAAGTGCAAGACAGTATGGAATAAACTGGCTCCGCTGGCCCGGGCCTCATCCATGCTGTGTCTGCAGAATGCGAGGAAATCAGGCAAGTTGAAAAAAGCGGCAGAAGTCCGTGGCTCAGCTAATCACCTGTGAACTTTATTTCTAGCAGAAAGGTTTGCACAATTTCTATGGAGACACAAGTCCAAGCGCCTGCTTTGGGGTGCTGGCTAAATGCTAGGCACTTTATTTGACCGTATAGATAGTTGAAACTAATAAGACACTTAACTGAATTGAGTAACGTAGATAAACACTGTTGAAGTTTCATTCAGCACTGCGGTCACACCGCAAATGGACAAACTTCCTCACGGAGTCACGCGCGATTTCAGGCAAAAGTCGCTAACTTATGTGGGAATTCTGTCGAAATGATTATTTGTCACGAACACGCTGTATGGGTTAATGCAGGACTGCACGAAGAGTTACAGTATTTTTTGGGCCAAGGTCGGTGGACATAAAGCCTGCCTCTCACACACTTGTGGCTCTGACAGCTCCATGATGACGCTGTCATTCAACTAGTTAATTTTACAGTAATGACTATATCTTTCCGCTTATTACAAGGTTACTTGCCAACTAAATAAAACAGACATTTAAATGTTGATTTTAAATATTGGTTGCGTAGATTTAAAATGTATCATTTTTTCCGATACAGGTTTTTCAATGCAAGTACTTGTCTGACTCATGAGACCCTGATAAAAAAAAAAATCGATTACAGACATATTTATTTGTTCTTTGGAAATAAAACTGCTTTTAATTTTTTCCCCATACCTTAGAATGTGTCTTGTTTAAAAATTTCCCCATGAATTAAAAAATGTCATTCAGTTTAACTAGGGGTGCTCCGATCAGGATTTTTGAGGCCGATCACAGAAAGCAGTATCTGCCGATACGATCACCGATACCGATCTTTTTAAAGCCTTCTTTTTATCATTTATAACTATTTATAGTGATACTCCAATCAGGATTTTTAGACATTTATTCAGGGCCTGAATTTCATTTTTGAAAACGGGGGAAATTCCCCTCTTCCAGGCCACTTTCCTTCAGAGGTTAGCTTCAACCCTAATCAAACACACCTGAACCAGCTAATCATTGTCTTCAAGACTACTAGAAGGCTACAGGCAGGTGAGTCATATCAGGGTTGGATCAAATCTCTGCAGGAAAGTGGCCTGGAAGGGCCAAGTTTGCCCATCACTGCTCTTGTGAGAGGAGAAGCAGCTTTCACACAGGAGTCCGCTACTGATCCGTGGCTATTTACCACAAACACAACATTTATCCATTATTTTGATTTCAAATCCAAACATTGTCACTGGAAATGCTTTTTCAGCATTGCAATTCTTTTTTTACACAGTACAGTAATACAATCTTTCACAGACATGTTTAAAACACAATAAATATAAGCAACACATTGTTCAATGCATTTTAATTTAGCATTTACTTCTAGATTTATATATTAAGTTGCTCAAGCAAGTGGCAAAACATTTAAACTACTTTTCTTATGTTATCACAAACTTACCATTGACAGAAATAGTCAGCTCTACTGCTTTTGCATTGAAGTCTTTATTACAAGCAATCCTGCGGTTCATAAAGAACTTTGTTTTCCTACCTCCAGGAGTGCATCTATTATTGCCTTGTTTATCTAAAAGTGCTTTTTCCCTTTAAACCTAGCCAAAAGGCCATGTGTTGACCGTGAAACACAGTAGACTTTAATAATATGCATTTATGGTGTAATTACTAAATTTTCGTGCCAATCCATATTCATATTTACCGCAAACAATGCGCTGTCACTTTAATTCAGCGCTTGCAGCGCAGCAATAGACTTGGTGCAGAAACGATCTCTGCACTGCTGCAGACGCACCGCTCCTGGAACGCACTGCCAGACCGCAGCTGTGTGCAGTGAACGCTTTAATCCGTTAACATGAGCGTTAACATGAGAGCGGAAAAAATACGCACCACGTATGCACTGCAAACAGAGTAATGTGAACTTGGCATTATGTGTGTGCGCTGCGAGTGTGATTCACTCACGCTGTTTGTGAAATTACGTCTCACACGAGGTTTTCAAATTACTTTAAGTTATTTAATGAAGAAATATGAAGGTGAGTATTCAATTATTTCACCCGCGCCGGACAGAGACTGAGATGGTGCCGCTGCATGTCGTGCCAAACCTCTGACGGCAGCGTCATCAGCTTGAGATCGGTTTTTGGAGATCGGCCTTTTAAGAGACCGCTGATCAATCATCCCAATGTGATTATCGGCCGATAGTGATCGGTAGCCGATCAATCGGAGCACCCCTAAGCTTAACAATAGTTTCTATACCAAAAAATCTTGTCAGGCATGTTTAGAACAAGAATCATTCGATTCTCTATGTAATACTCTATTTGATACTCTATTTAAGGATCACAGTGCAGCCCCAAATTATTAATTGATTGTAATTTTAAATCTTTACCAATCTTTGCCAATGTCTTTTCCTTCGAATCACTAGGGTTTATCCACTTGTCAGCAAGACGTTTTTAATAGTTTAAAATATAATATTTAGATTGATCACTTATTCATTTATATATTTAAATAAATACAGGTTAGAATAAGTATGTTGTTTCAGTTTTTAATTTAAAATATTTGTTACGCTAAAAAATAATGGAACATTGTTTTACCCATATTTTGACATTTTATTTTCACAACAGTTATTTGAAACATTAAAGTAGACACTTTACCCGGATGCTGCATTTAATATGCTGTGTATATAAAATCATTTTATAAATGTATATTGTTTTTATGATTGACTTCTCAGCGCTGAGACATGGGAGAAGGCTGGAGATGGTTCAGAAAGCCCAGATGTCATCAGGGCCAGCAGGAGGGGGTGGCGAAAACACACTTTATTACGTCCTGATTGGAGCAACATGTCTGGGGGCAGGAGTTTATGTAAGCACCCCTTTATGATTGGCCTATTCATCAGTCCCATATTGACAGTGCACAAAATATATTTCTTTAGGTAATTGCTTCAAGTTTAACTGATATTAAAATTGTTACTGCTCGTGTGTGTTGTGGTTAGTTTGTGAATTATGTTGATGTTTATTTACATGAGCATACTCAAAAAAAAGTGTCTGTCAAATGTACAAGATATACTAATATACAACATATACATACCATTGCTGTGCTATGCTCTGTCAGGTTGTTAACAACTGTAGGTTGTTAAAAATGATGTTAGATGTGTGCTGTAAGGAATTTAACTCATTAATTCTATAAGGGAATTAATCATTAATTTTATTTCTAGCTCAGGTTTTGAAAGGACTCGACTGTGTATTTTCCTTGGCCACAGGATAATACGTTCTTTGATAAGTAAGCTACGAGCTAGGTAGCAAGGATCTTGGCAAAAGGGTTTTGACTTTAAAATTATACGACACCAGACAATGATTCTTTATAAAGGAAACATGAATTTATTAGCTATTCTAGATTACATTAAACTAAGCTAAAACACACATACACACACACATATACAGTTCGGAAGAATGAAGGAAATGAGTTAACGGAGTTGCATGAAGTTTTCTTGGTTCTAACACTCGTGTCCACGAGTGGTTTTAAATTCAGCCTGAGAGAATTCACAAAGCAGAGATTTGTCTTACGTTTACTGCTTAAATCAATCATCAGCGTCAGTTCAGCAGATAGAAGATTTTGTTAATTACTTGCGTTTTGCTGAAAGCTGAAAAGCTCTTGTGGCTGTGGTGGGAATTCCGTTGCTGATTGGTTACTGCGATGACGTCAGGATGGCGTCCCTTTTGGGGAAGCCCTCGTTGGATTGGTTGGTTGCCGGGTTACAGAGGAGCCTCTGGTTCTTCTGAGAGAGTCTGCTTTAGCAAGACTTTGCATTCTGCAGAGTTACGACTGTTGTAAGTCTCGTGTCCCTTTGTCTGTGACAGGAGAAACGTGCCCATTTTCTGGGAAGTATTAAAAGATGCGTCCCTTTTTTGGAATGCAGGGCGGAAAGGGGAGGTGTCCTGAGGTCATGCCCATGTCACGAGTTGGGTGTCTGCCATTCTTCTCCTGGACAGAGAGCTCTTAATCTGTCGCTTTCTGTTTATCGGATTTAGCAATTTATGCATTAGACGGTCATGGGGTCCAGGCGAGTCTGTCGCTGGAACATTTCCAGATACCATGTTCTTCGTTCTGTTGGAATGCAGGATGTGATGGGAATCATGTGTTAGTCACGTATAGATCCCGTGTTGCAGTTTAGGTTAGTTAATTTACTCATCCTTTTCCTGTTGGATGTAAGAGTTCATTCATTGGTGGTCTCAAGACATCGTGGTTTCTATATGTTGTGAACGAACTTTCCAGTCCTGATACAAAGAAAGCTTTGTTGTCTCCTGATTGAATTAATTCGAAGCCTCATGATGAGTTGATTCAGTGGCATATCACAGTCCTGTGGTTTGTGGTATTAAGAAATCCCTACAGTGCCATACATATAACTAGTATTAACATGTAGCAGACTTTATCACACATGAATTTGATATGAATCTCATTTGGTGAAGCAGGTTAATAAGTTGATTCTTAGATTTGCAGAGTTTAAAGTGATTGTTGTTTATTGGTTTTAAGGCATACCGCACCGTCTCAGGGGACAAGGAAAGATATAATGAGCGTATGATAGAAATTGCCAGTAGACCAAAACAAGAGCCACAAGCAGCTGAGGCTGTAGGTAAGTAAATACACTAAACACATGAACTAATGAAATAATAAATCACTGGTCTCGTGTAATTAGCAGTTATCAAGTTGTTTCAATTCATATATATACAGTTTAATTCGGTGGCATGTTGTCTTTTGTGTTTCAACTGAAGTTGGGGCAGAATCAAAAGAAGGTGAGTAGTTATTCTACACGCTGATGAAAGTGTTTTTTTTCTATCTGTATGTCTGTATATGCACATCATTCACAGCCTTACACACAAAGCACTGCACTCCCTGTGCATTTGTTGCTGAATTCAATGCAAAACTTAAAGGGTTAGTTCACCCAAAAATGAAAATTAGCCCATAAATTACTCACCCTCAAGTCATCCTAGGTGTATATGACTTTCTTCTTTCAGACGAATCCAGTCGGCGTTACATTAAAAATGGTCTTTGATTTTTCAAGCTGTTTAATGCCACTCAGAGGGTGTTGCATGCATCCGTCCAAAAGCAGTTAAATAAAATGCGCCCATCCATAAAAAAAAAGTGTCTCACGCGGCTCCGGGGGGTGAACAAAGTCCTTCTGTAGCGAATTGATGCGTTTTTGTAAGAAAAATATCCATATTCAAAACATAATAATCACTTTAATGTAGCTTGCGCTCACTGTTGTACACTGGAAGCAGTTCCGGGGAATGACCGACGAGGTCAGTGCTGCGCATCAGCCCTCTACGGACACCTTGGCAATTGAATCGCCATTGGCTAGTAAATGTTTTTGTTTACTCGCCAGACTGATAAAAAAATTAAATAAATAAATAAATAAATAAATAAATATATATATATACAGAAGGCCTTTGTTCACCCCCCGGAGCCGTGTGAGACACTTTTTATTTATTTATTTATTTTTTATGGATGGGCGCATTTTAATTAAGTGCTTTTGGACTGATGCATGCAACACCCGCTGAGTGCCATGAAACAGCTTGAAAAATCAAAGACAATTTTTAATATAACTCCGACTGGATTCGTCTGAAAGAAGAAAGTCATATACACCTAGGGTGACTTGAGGGTGAGTAATTTATGGGCTAATTTTCATTTTTGGGTCAACTAACCCTTTAAGCCTTATCTTACATTTGCTAGTTATCTGACGACAGTGTAATTTTAATTTTTTTTTATTTCTGAATTGATTGGGAAACTAAGATAAAGACTTGATATAAGTAATGCAGTGCTGTTGTGCTCTGAGGTTGTATGGCTGTGGTTGGTATTTGTCTATGTCACTGGTGCACATATGGGTGTTAACATGCACAGAATGTCCTATTCATGCAGGATGAAACAACACTCTCAGTAGGGAATGTTTCTTGGAATTCTTAACTCTGCTTAGTCTGAAAAAGGGATTAACAACCTGAACATATTAAATGGTATATTCCATTGTATTATGTACAATGATCAAGTCAGCTCCTGTTTGCAAGTTTAGTATCTTAACTTTGGTATGAGCATAGTATTGCTTAACATAAACCAGATTATTTAGTAAAATTAGTGTTAAATCCAATCTGAATTAGGTCATATCAAGCTTTTTATAAATTGTGTTTTATGTTTTATAAAACATTTTTAATGCTAAAATCATTCCTGATTTAATTATTCTGGTTTTACCTACTCTTAGAAATAAACAGGCAGTTTCTTGTTTTCAAATTTGCACATTTTTTTTTTGCCTCTAGAACTCTACTAAAATTGTTTTAGCATGCTAGTTCAGTAGATGAGCATGCAACACTGGACTAGTAATTAGGGAAATGTTTAGGATCAATAAATGCATACCCTTCTTTTGTTATAAACAAATCTATGGTTCTTGTGATGAGTTGTGCATGTAAATGCATATACACTATCGTTCAAGTAAGATTTTTTTTGGAAAGAAATTAATACTTTTATTCAACAAGGATGCATTCAACTGATCAAAAGTGACAGTAAAGTATTTTACATTGTTACAGAAATTCTATTTCAAATAAATGCTGTTCTTTTGAACTTTCTGAACAAAATATATCATGTTTCACCAAAATTAAGCGGCATAACGTTTTTCAGCATTGATAATAAGAAATGTTTCTTGAGCACAAAATCAGCATATTAGAATTATTTCTGAGAGATCGTTTGACACTAAAGACTGGAGTAATGGCTAAATAAATATTAGGGCTGCACGATAAATCGCATGCGATATTTAACGCGCATCTTGTCAGTAAAGCCGTCCTGTAATCAGCGGTAAATCTACATCACGTGCGGGCTTTCACATTGAGCAGCATTAACTACACAGAGCCGTTGTTCATTGACGAGCTGCGCAAAACCACGATCATAATAAATTACATTTTCAAAATATATTAAGTTGTATTGTAGTAATATTTCACAGTAACAAATAAATGCAGCCTTGGTGAGCATAAGAGACATCTTTCAAAAGCATGAAAAAATCTTACCAACTGCAACATTTTGAATGATAGTGTAGATGTGTCTCTACTAATATACAATATACAACAGCAGGAGTTCCAGATTTGGACTTCAAAGTTAGAATATGTTTTTTTTTAATTATCCAGAATGTATGTTTTGTCATAGATCAACCATCAGCTTCTAATGAAACCTAAGAGAAAGTCAAACATGTTCAGTTAGTGCCCGGTGGGCTATACATGGTGACCATTTCCTGTTTAATTCCTCTATACAGTATAGGCTGTAATAGAAAACTGGTCAAATGTACATGAACTATCTCACATTAAGTTGTGCATGCTTCTTGGGACACTGCGCAGCACACTGCATGTGACTGTCTATTTAATGTTCCTATTAATTGTCTTTTGCATTGTTTTAATGTTGTCTGTTACTCTCCTAACAGTTCTACATTATATGCACTTTTCTCTAAATAACTTTAAAAAGCATCTGCCAGGAATTATAAATAGCCCTTTTCACACAGGCTGCGTTTACACTTGGCATTAACATGCGACCTGTATCCGGATGTTGTCCACATACACATTGAAAAGACAATGCGCTTAATGCGCTTCTGATTGGAATGTTATCCGATCAGCGTGTCCTGGTCCAGAGGTAGTCGAGGATGCATTGTGATCGGATCTCAGTGTAATGTAAACGCAATCCAGCCATCGTGTCTGCATTCGCAGGTCGACATCATGCAAAACGCTGCCCCCTCTCTCCTGATCTGTCGGAAGAACAGAGTGCTAGTGACACTCGTACACTTATTTTGATTTGTAAAATGTCCCGCGACTGAAAATAGTTTTGAAAAGAAAACCCACCACTTCAGGTTGACTTTGCACAGCAGACTTATTTAAATATTGCGTGGGAAATACAGATCCGATTGGTTAAACAGATCTAGAAGTCAGCTGATGTTGCCAAGTGTAAACGCATCGTGTCCTGATTGACTGGTGATCCGATCTGCTTGATCAGATCACGGTGATCGCATGTTAAAGCCAAGTGTAAACGCAGCCACAGTGATACCATTAAATTATAATAAAATATAATAAAAATAAATACAATAAAAAATATAATATATATAATATAATAGTAAAATAAAAAATGTGCTGTTCACACAGGCAACGACGTTCTGTCTTTTTTTTCCAGAAAAACACCGTTCACACACAGGTTTCAAAGAGTAAACCTCTTACGCCACAGTATTCTGAGCTCGTACATGCTCATACTGGTAATCTTCATTCTGCGTTCACACACGAATTTGACGGTATTTTTGAAAAGGTCCTGTTCACACATGATCTCTTTATGGCAATTTACCAGTAATTTTCCACTAAAGTCTGTATGTGTGAAAGGGGCTCATGTAAACTGTCAGCCGTCTTTAGAACTGTCACTGAGACCTTCCACTTCTACTCATACATGGTGAACTTTCTCCACTGTCAGGCGTTTGACTGTGGGTATTTGTTTCTGTGCGACTGCTTTGTGGGTAACTCCATTGACATTCCTCACCCAATCACCTGACTATCCATTTGTTTTTATTCTAAATTTCACGTACTATGCCTTTTCAAGTTAAGAGGGTAATATGGTACAAAATGTATCGGAGATTTCTTTCTGCCATTGGGCCAAAAATGGTTGGATTGAGGTGATGTTCTATGAAGTTCTTTCATTGATGGACATGCCTGATGCTTGTCTTGTCTTCTTCGTCATGTCTTTCATTTGTCAGTTGTGTATTTTGCATCATACTTTGTCTGTGTCACCAACCAAACATTTCTACCACAAGGACACCACTATTTTCTTTCCTCCTTTTTCCGTTCGTCCCACTAACTCTCAGTTGTTTAGAAAAAAAGCTGTTTTGCCTTGTTAATTTTCTTGCTTTAACTTCTTCATTGATGTTAAAGTGTTTGGAAAGGTTTTTAGATGGCTAGACTATCCATTTGTCTGGATTATCTGTCCTGTCCTCCGCTTGCACAGTGAAGCTGATGTTTTGGAGAAACTCTTATCAGGACTTGTTCTGGAAAAATGTTCTGTTAATGCCCAAGTTTCTGTTGGACCTTTTGATTGGCACTGACACATGGACCCAGCCTCAGATTCAACTAGCAGCTACGAGTGTTAACAGAAAAGCACCAAAGAGGAGCTTTCAGTTTTTTGGAGTTAGATTCTTGGAAGGAGATTAGTGTAAATGTGGAGTAGTCTTAAGAGAGAACTCCAGGGAATTATCCATCATGATAGTCTCTGATGTGCAGACACTGTTTCAGAAGATATGATGCTCTTCATGATAACATGGTAATCCTCAACAAAACATGAAGATCCTGTCATAGAAGATTTTGCAACTAATGCAGGAAGTGGAAGAACACACCTTCACATTCACCCATAACTTAACCTTTCCTCATGGTTTTTATTCTTTTCCGTCCTACAAATTCATTCCTGGTCCTGGATCCTTTATTTTTCCTTTTTTTCACTGGATGAACCTACCCCAAATGAACCACTCATACAACCCATCAAAGCATGAAATGTTCGATCTAGAGCGGTGAAAAAATGCTAAGGGTGTTTTTCATTAAGTCCGTTATCTATTCATAATCCTGCTTTAGATGCTGCACCTCTGGAATCCATCCCCGAACCATCTTTAGAGCCAGTTAAGAGTGGTAAGAGCCGAAGAATATAGAGCGGAGGATTGTTCTGGTGCTTCTTCTGTTTCAGTCAAACCTTCTTGTGTTTTGCTCATTCTGTGGCTTTAGAGCCTGTTGCTGAAGAACCTACTCTAACAGAACCTCCTGCTGAAGAACTTCTGGTAACAGAAGCTGTTGTGGAGTCCACTGAAACTGAACCTGTTGCAGAAGCTCCCGTAACTGAACCCATTGTAGAAGCTTCTATTCCGGAACCCACAGTGGAAAGCCCAATAAGAGAGCCTGTTGTTGAAGCCTCTGTAACAGAACCTGTTGCAGAAGCTCCAGCAGTTGCACAGAGCGAAGAGCCCTTAGCTCCTGTAGTTGAGAGTGGTAAGCTTGACACATCTGCATGGAAGTCAAATTTTTTTTTTACAGCGGAAAATATTTTTGGAAACTGAGGTTAACGTCTTTACTCTCCTCTTGCATTGGGATTAAGAAACAGAGCCTACACCTGTAATCATCGCTGAGCATGTTCCGGAGGCTTCGTCTGTTTCTGAGAGTGGTAAGAGTCCAGTTTTGACTGGATGGGAATCAGTTTAAACATGTTACCGATAAAGATACTGATAATTGCTTCATTCACACATACGGACACCTATTTCAAAACTTTCCATTACTACACTTTTGATTTTTATGGCTACATATGCTCTTTTTTTGAGTTGATTTATGAATTATGAATTATGTCTTGGCCTGTCTTAGATTTTTTTTTTTCATTTGTTTTTCTTGTCTGTATAAACCACATTGTCCTCTCTTCTTTTCAAGGCCTTATATTTTTCCCCACTCAAGTATTTCATTGCTTTGAATGGTTGTTTTGTGTGACTGTTGTAATGCTAATGGCTAATGCTAATGTTACAAGGTCACACACTTATGACCAATTTGCAGCCACGTTTCCAGATTACTTGAGGTACAGCTTGCACTAAAATGACTATAAAATGCTAATCTCTCCCCTCATCTAGCGATGTGTTCCTGAGATCACTCACATATTCTTGTACGGATCATGTTATGTGCATTCACTAATTCAGTGTTCAGGTCAAGTTATTCAAAAACGCTTGTTTGTTTGTACTAGTCATCTCTTTATTTAACCAGCTGCAGATTCTAAAGCAGCTCCTGCTGCTGAGCCCGTTGAACCCACTGCTGCTCCCTCAGATGTCCCTGAACATGCTCCCTATCTGCTGATTGGTGGAGGCACGGCTTCGTTCGCTGCAGCTAGGTCCATCCGAGCACGTGACCCTGGTGCCAGGGTGAGTCTGTCAGTTTGGTGTCAGTTTGGCAGAATTATGATAAAACTCACATGATATTGTAATCATCAATACTTAGAGCAGAGGTTTACTAGGGCTGGGTGATATGGCCAAAAAAATAATCATGATAAAATGTGACCCTGGACCACAAAACCAGTCTTAAGTAGCACGGGGGATATTTGTAGCAATAGCCAACAATACATTGTATGGGTCAAAATGATAGATTTTTCTTTTATGCCAAAAATAATTAGGATATTAAGTAAAGATCATGTTCCATGAAGATATTTTGTCAATTTCCTACCCGTAAATATATCAAAACTTAATTTTTGATTAGTAATATGCATGGCTAAGGACTTCATTTGGACAACTTTTCAATATTTCAAATTTTTTTTTTCTCAATATTTATGTATTTTTTGCACCCTCAGATTCCAGATTTTCAAATAGTTGTATCTCGGCGAAATATTGTCCTATCCTAACAAACCATACATCAATGGAAATGTTATGTATTCAGCTTTCAGATGATCAATTTCGAAAATTGATCCTTACAGGTGCATCTCAATAAATTAGAATGTCGTGGAAAAGTTTGTTTATTTCAGTAATTCAACTCAAATTGTGAAACTCGTGTAGGTCCAGGGTCACAAATGTTTCATATCAGTCGATTTCGATAATTATGACAATAAATTTCAAATCTTTATTTCTTTCAAATTGAAAGGCAGATTTTTGCTCCTAAGTGAAAGTTGGTTACAACCTCATTTTTATATGTAGAAATGTATCTATTCTGACTGTTTGAGTTTTATTCTAATTAATCATTGGTCTTCCATAGTAGCATACATTTAGATTGTGATAGCCACAGTTAAAACCACACATGGAGTGCCTCAATACCATGGTACAAATGTAACTATATGGTTTCTAGGTATTTGTATGAAAAACAATAGTCTAAATACATTTAAATGCACAAACGCTATAGCTTAATCACAAAAAATACTGTAATTATATTCCATTACTCCTTTAATATATTTAATACGTCTACATTAATAATATAATAAAATTCTATATGAATTTCCCACATTTCTGCCACCATACTGTGGTGCAGTTAGTGTTACTACAGTAAATCCATGGTAAATGATGGAGATTTGTAGATTGAAAAGTCCTCTGATTGTATCGTTGCGCAGTTTGTGTTACTTCTGGCTTTAAACTAGCTTAAATCAAAAAGTGTATTTTTGTTTGTTACACAGGTGTTGATTGTAACAGAGGAGTCTGACCTGCCCTACATGAGACCTCCTCTCTCTAAAGAACTCTGGTTCTCCGATGACCCCAAGGCCATCGAAACACTGCGCTTCAAACAATGGAATGGCAAAGAGAGGAGGTGTGTGTCCGAATTTTCCAGACCACATAAGACCAGACCACGCTAATGTGCTGGCTTTTTTTTCAGACCATTGCAAATGTTGATATTTATTATACCAAAAAAAATGTGATATTTATTTATTTATTTATTTATGCTTGTTTTAGCATTTACTTCCAGCCTCCCTCGTTCTACGTCAGTCCCACGGATCTTGATAAAGTGGAGAATGGGGGTGTGGCTGTGCTCACAGGCCGTAAGGTGGGAAACTCTGACATCAGCATCTCATGTTACTGCGAAGCTGTGCTCTTAATTACATCCACATGAACAAGTCTAAAAATGCTGAGGTCACACGAGAGGAGAAAATGTTTTATGGATGCATAAGTGTGTGTGGATGAGTTGTCCTCATCGTACCCCCGTGTGTGTGTGTTTGTACCTGTGGTGTAGGTGGTACACATGGATGTCAGAGGAAATAAAGTCAAACTGAGTGATGGTGCAGAGATCTCATATGAAAAGTGCCTGATTGCCACAGGTAAAATGCATGTACAATATACACATATACATGCACAGAGGTGTAAAATCTATTGCTGACTGTCCTATAAATATATATATGTGTGTGTGTATTAGGTGGGGTGCCTAGGAACTTGCAAGTGATTGACAGAGCAGGAGAGGAGGTGATGAAGAGGACAACCCTCTTCAGAAAAGTATGTCTTACTGCACATTTTTGGGTTTTTGGACAAGCAGAATTAAACCAGTGTCCAAATGAGATCCTCCATTAGTATGTTAAAGTCAACATGAAATCAAATTTAGGAAAATACATCATTCAGACAATGAAAACTTTCCTTATCAGATGATGGATAAAGTCCTTCATGTTTTTTTTTTCCTTGCTGAATATCCTGTTATTTAAACTCTTCACCGTATGCACGTCAAATGGGTTGTGAACGTGGTTTTATGTTGACAGAATCCAGTTATACCTCAATCTACAGTGTCAGCATAGTTAGAAATTCAAGCCAGAATGTGATGTTTAATAAGAAGAGCTCTTTTACTAAGCACAGATCATCGTGTGAGATGCCAAATGCATAAATGTAAATGTGAAAAAATACCACTGGAGCATATAGCACACCACTATGAATTACTAGAGTATTTTTTTTTATTTTTTTAACCAAAGGACTATAAAACATTAAGCAGAGTGTACAAATTTTACAACGATAAGTGTTGTGGTATATATTAGATATTAGCATTCTGAAATATGGCCACAAATTCTATATCTTGTTCCTACAGTCCTAGAATAGTGGAAATTGGAAATGGAAAGTCATGTAGTAAATTAAGTTCTAGTTCTCATGTGTAAAATATTTTATTCACTTGAAATTGCTCTTTGATGCAGTCTCTCTATTTATTTTTTATATCTTGTAAATCCTTAAAAAAAATGTAGTGACTGGAAAAATAATGGAAACGTGTTGGTCAAAAGGTACTGTTGGACAGAACCCTGTCTATATATATATATATATATATATATAACCTTCATATGTTCTTTTTGGTAGATTGAAGATTTTAGATCTCTAGAGAAGATGTCCAGAGAGGTTAAGTCCATTACCATCATTGGCGGAGGTTTTCTCGGTAGCGAGCTAGCATGTGCCTTGGGTCGCAGATGTGAGTCCAAACACTCAGCCGTCATTCATGTATATGTGTGTGAGAGAGCGAGAGAGTGTTTTGAGGTTCTCATGTTATAAAGTTTATTTTTATTTTTATGAAAATGCTACTGACTACTCCCTCTCTCTCCTTTACCTTCCCCTTGCTCTCTCTGTAGCCACTGACGTTGGTTTAGAGGTGATCCAGATGTTCCCAGAGAAGGGCAACATGGGAAAAGTACTGCCTGAATACTTGAGTAACTGGACCACTGAAAAAGTCAGAAAAGGTGAGAGAACGAATAAAGGACATTTGCTTAAGCAGCCCAACATTGGCTCAACAAATACTGTGTGTTTTGAGGTTGGGGGAGTAGGATGACCTGTTTCAGTGTTTGAGAAACCTGTCTGAAACCTATTGTGTTTTTTCCTAGTTCAGTTTATCACAGGAATTGCTTCCTTTAGCTGTGAATGTCCAGATCTAATGTAGGCATTCTGAAAAGTTTAAGCTAACCACAGCTAACCTTTTGACCATTCATAGAGGGTGTGAGCGTAATCACAGATGCTGTAGTGAAAAATGTGACCTACAAAAATGACAAATTGGAGATCAAACTGAAGGATGGACGACTGGTGAGTCTGCTTTTCCATCAGCCAGTCATAACCTGGCCTGATCATCTGTATGCTAATTACATTGTAATATAGTTATATTTTTGTAATTTCTTTTATTATGTTGTTGTTTTAGTTTAAGACAGACCACATTGTGGCAGCAGTAGGTTTGGAGCCTAGTATGGAACTTGCCAAATCTGCCGGGCTGGAGGTGGACTCTGATTTCGGAGGGTACCGGGTTAATGCTGAGCTTCAGGCTCGCTCCAACATCTGGGTGGTACGTAAGGCTGAGGGCTTCTCCAGCAAAAACAAAATAAAGAGAGAAAGGAGGTCTTTTAATACCACTGATATTGTTGGTATTCAGGAGACAGTACCAAGCCAGAAGATCCTAAAGAATGGCTGGTTCAGTTTTCATAGGAACTGTACTGGTTCTGATTGCATCATCAATTTGAAAAGTAAGGTTCTTCAATGTTTGTGTTCTAGGCAGGAGATGCTGCATGTTTCTATGACATCAACCTGGGCCGTCGGCGTGTAGAGCATCACGATCACGCGGTGGTCAGCGGCAGGCTTGCTGGAGAGAACATGACTGGAGCCAGCAAACCTTATTGGCATCAGTCAATGTTCTGGTAATCAACAAATCTTCAACAAATGCACATTTTAATGTGTTTTTAATTACATTGTTCAGCACTCACAATGTGCCCTTGCCTTCAGGAGCGATCTAGGTCCAGATGTAGGATATGAAGCCATCGGTATAGTGGACAGCAGTCTGCCCACCGTGGGAGTGTTTGCTAAAGCCACAGCCAAGGACACACCAAAAGCTGCAACCGAACAGTCAGGTACACAAACATTTGCTAACATGTAGATCGCAACTACTATGGATTTGTGAATTACCACTTCCAAGGTACCATCAATAGCAGAGTGCAAACAAAAATACACACTAAAACAACATTTTCTCTGCTTGCAGGCACCGGAATCCGTTCAGAGAGTGAGACAGAGGCAGTTGCCGGGGCATTAAAGGCAGAAACAACGGCCACTCCACCTCCTATCCAGCAGGAGGAGGATTATGGGAAAGGCGTGATATTCTACCTGAGGGACCAAGTGGTGGTCGGTATTGTACTGTGGAACGTCTTCAACAGAATGCCCATCGCAAGGAAGGTGAGCAGAAATATCACTCCCTTTCTTTATCCGTCTTTTTTCAGTGTTTCTCTGAGAAAGATTTTAATTGGTTGTTTTCTCTGTTTATTTGTAGATAATCAAAGATGGAGAACAACATGCCGATCTCAATGAGGTGGCCAAGCTTTTCAACATCCATGAAGACTGAACAATCATTTCTCTTTCTACTCTATCAAGGGCATTCAGTCCAAATCTATGTGGAGTGAACTTGGGAAAGACACACTGAACAAACACATACAGGCTTACACCAGCCTGTCCTCTGCCATTTTGACTTCGAAGTCTCTGAGATCAGGAAATGCCATGCTGACTCCAGGCTGCAAGATGGCGCTGTGCCCATGGATTGTTTAAAACTGTACCACTCAATTTTCTACTGAGGGAAATCTATACCTGTTGTTTGTATTGAAAATTTGTGCTGTGTGTTGGGTTTTTTCTGTCGAGGTCAGTAAATGTTTATCTCACTACTTAAATGTAAACACCTCCTCAAAATCAGACAGGATATCCACTTCCGTTGAATGCTGCAATAAAGTTGCATTTCAAATAAAACAAAGCCAGATGAAAGACATTCCTCTGACACCTGTTCGCACAGTGTTTTCTGCCTGCATGATCAAAGCAGCTGGTACAAATGAAGACTAAATAAAAGTAAATTATTTTTAATTATCTCTCAAAATTTGTCTCAATTTTGGTGTTTGTTAAAACATTTTCCAACACAATAATGTACAGTGATTATCTGGCCAATCCAGAGGTCAGAGGAATTTACTGTACCAACCCTTTGCCAAGTGCAAGACACTGAATGCCTGTGTGTCTAGTATGGGTGTGACCCCGAGGCTTTTGAAATATGTAGAGAAGATGCAATATGTTAAGGCTCATTAAACCTGTGATTGCCTGCAAACATGTTCCCTAAAGTAGCCTTGACCTATTTCCTTATGCACCAGTGCTCTGATATACAGGTCAGAGTAATAGCAAATTGCTCATTCTGTCTTTCTGCTGAGTGATAGCCATAGAAAAAATAGCCTTTGATGTTTATTGAAATATTTTAATGTCTCCAAATACTGTTTGTTAATGTTATTTCGATGCATCAGTCACACTTTAATCAGCACTGAGTTGGGTACCATGTACAGATTATGCCTTTATAGGTGTTTGACTTCACTGACAGTTACAATAATTTATTTTTAAGCTCTACGTTTTTTGCAGGAAAAAATGTGTATATATATATATATATGTATATGTATATGTATATATATATATATATATATATAGATGTATATTTAAAATGATATATAAACCTATATGTTCAAAAAAGAGGATCAAACATGCCTAGATTTCAAGAGTTTCCAGATTAAGCTTTTCAGTAAGGTTGGTTATAATTAGTTTTTTTTTATTATAATTATTTAAATTTTATTTCATTTTTTAATATTTGGTAAAAGAACCGGCTGATAAGAATCATTAATAGTGCATTGGACTGCTCTGGTTATATATATGTATATGTATATGTATATATATATATATATATATATAGATGTATATTTAAAATGATATATAAACCTATATGTTCAAAAAAGAGGATCAAACATGCCTAGATTTCAAGAGTTTCCAGATTAAGCTTTTCAGTAAGGTTGGTTATAATTAGTTTTTTTTTATTATAATTATTTAAATTTTATTTCATTTTTTAATATTTGGTAAAAGAACCGGCTGATAAGAATCATTAATAGTGCATTGGACTGCTCTGGTCACACTCAGTATTTAATTCACTAATAGGAACCAGTTTATAAGAGTCGGTTGATCATAAGAGTCGCATTGTTTTCCTGCAAGGACAGCTTAGCAGAAAGACAATTTTGGCATTATTTCTCTGTACACAGTGTTCGTTTTGGATAACATTCACAATTCAGGTAATTTTATTTTGCTGTGGAGCTGAATATTATCAGTGGGGAGTGCGATCATCAATCAAAATTTCTGAGTAAACGCTTTATTTTTTTTGCAAGATAATTTGTGTTTTTGGTAGATTGCAATAACTGAGTTCCGTAGAAGCACCAGGATGCAGGGACAAAAATCTGTCCACAAAAACAAGATCAGATGTTTCCGAGATAAACTTCCTCAGGACTGATATTCTCTAAAGCATATGAACAGGGTGGATGTCGCTGACCCGTACATACATAGGCCTACACGCAAACACATAAATGTCTGCTTCCCTGCTAGTTACTCTGGAGTCTGCCAGCAATTCTCAGTCGAGATTGACTTGAGTACCTTTAACCTCTGTGGAAACTGACGAAGCGAATTTCAGATTTTACGATCAATTAATTAATAATACTGTTTTCATGCATGTTAATGAGTAGAAATCAGTGGAGTGGTGTGTGTGTGTGTGTATTTGGAGGGTCTTGGATAATTACGTTAGCTGAGAGCAAAAGTGTGTGTGTGGTGTAGTTTAGGCATTTGCTCTAATTCCAAGGCAAGTCAAGGCAATGTTTAAACACATCATCGACGTGACCGCTGTGTGTGTGATTTCTGAGAAAACTGGGTCTGTTATTCTTTAGTTTTGTTCACACTGGAGTGAAGATACATTAAAATTAACACTGGCCTAGTTATCCACTGTGACTCAACACGCACATAAAGCTCAGTCGGATTTCTCTTTCTTTCAGTTGTTTTTTTTTTACACCCACCCTAACTATATTCTTGTCTTATTTTTCTCTCTCCTCTTTATTCCATGTCTTTCTCCTATACAGCTGCCGGTTCATGTAAAACAGTATGATGGGGGAGAATGATGGAAACTGGGGGATGCTGTACATTTTGCTCTCAACAGCACACACTGGTATTCCTATCATTATGGAGACATTCCATAGACGTAATGGTTTTTATGCTGTCCAAACAGTATTTTCTATCCCCTTATCCTAACCCTACACCTAAACCTCCCCCTCACAGAAAACTTTCTACATTTTTAGATTTTCAAAACACAATATGATTTATAAGCTTGTTTTTTCATGGGGACCTAAAAATGTCAAAATCTACTGGTATTACTGTACTTGTGGGGACATTTGGTCCCCATTACATAGTGAATACCAGTACACACACACACACACACACACATCTATATATAGAGAGCAACATTTACAATGTTACGAATAATGTATATAAACTTATGAACATTCTATTCATCAAAGAATCCTGGAAAAAAATGTTTTATCATTAATAATATATTGTTTTGTTCTTAATATTGCTAGATGATGTTTTGCATGTTTTCAGCATTGATAATAATTCTTGATAATAAAAAGTGTTTATTGAACACCAGCGTATTAGAATGATTTCTGAAAGAAATCACAGGAATAAGTTACATTTTAGTAACATTTTTAAAACTGTATTAAAAGATGTTTCATATAACCAAATAAACATTATCTAGCCTTGGTGAGCATGAGAGAAAACATTTGAATGGTAGTGTGTACATTATGTTTCATATAAACTGAGACATTATTATATTGTCACCACAGGACTATTGACGTGAACTGCAAGAGACACAAAGGTAATTAAAAATGTTGGAAAATTCAAAAGAAATAGTGACAAGTCACAGAACCTAAAATGTAAATAAAAAAAACTGAACAATGCTGAACCTAAATTCTTGCTGTTTAATAACAGGAAGCACTTGTTCTGTCATCTACTGAATATACTCAAGATATCAGAGGAGGTGGATGGATGGATGTTTGTCCTCTGCTGCAGTGCGTCTTGGGATGTGGATTTGGAGCCCCTCCGGTGGAGTCGTGTTACAGTTGTTTATTCTGATAAAAGTCTTTAAACGCATCTTACGCCCTGTTGCCTTCTCTCTTCTCCATGCTAGAACTGCACCTCAGGCTAGCATGTGGCCAGAGAGAAAGAAAGAGCAGAAGACCCCCTGTATACACACACACACACACACACACACACACAGACACAGACGTCTCTTAGTGTGCCCGTCTCAGGATGCGGTGCTCAGTCAGATGGCAGTGGAGGAGAGACCAGAGTGCATCGGAATGGGCGCCCTGCCCCTCCAAAACACATCTGCTTACTGAGATTTAGCCACAGGACACCAGGGAGAAAAAGAGAGCAGCTGAATAGTGAAAGGATGTTTTCTCTGTTCTGGAGGATCCTGCTGGAGCTCTTACTGGTTTGGTGGATGTTTGAAGGGGTCATCAGGTGAGTTTTTCACAGGTGTGCCATCATTCCTCACTGGCATCACCGTGTGATTCATTCAAACACTTGTAGAGGCTGTTTGTGAAGATTTAAATATAGTTTGAAGTGTTTTCAGGTGTTAAAATGACCTGTTTCTTCCCTAATATTTGAATTTCCATACTTGTTCGCTTTTGTGTGCTCAGTCGTCTGTATTTGGCTTGTGTGTTCAGTTCAGTAGTCTTCATGGGTGATAGGTTTATTTTAATCCCGGAGAGCGTTCTTATGTTTCTGAGTGTGTGTGTGTGTGCTTGTGTTTGTTGGCTTTATGTATCTGGGTCTCTGAAGTATGAGGCTGACACATAGAGACAGCTCTGTCTGAAGTCATTTTCACTGTTACTGAAATTGCAGATTTATTGAAGTCCACATAATGAGATAGAACTATTATTGGCCTGTCTGGAACGAGACGTTTCTTTAGAATGACAATAAGGGCTTGTAAGTCTCACCTGAGGATGCATTCATTCTGTGTCTTATTTCCACTCCCTATACGCTGTGTGAGACGGACTTTATACTTTCACAAATCAGATTTGCCACAGTTCTGCTCACAAACAGACAGGGAAATTGAAGAGGAACTGGACCGGAAAATTTCTCTAAATATGGAATAAGATTCAAAGCGTTTGAGAGAAAGTGCTGTCCTTTTCTCTGCTTGGACTTCTACTGAATTCTTTTTTAATAAAATATTAACACCTACGACAACCTGCAATTAAGTTTAAGGCAATAAAGATGTCACCGCTATACTGCAGACACACAGAGAAACAGACAGAACGTGTCAGGTGGAGAGGAGTTTTAATAAAACATGAGACAGATGTTCTGATGTGCTCATTTAAAGCCTTATTAAAGGTTTTAAGTAGACTCCTCAGGTATTTTGTTAGCAACCAGATTTCCCTCTATAGCATTAATATTCAATTTGGCATACATTATTACCAAAGCATTCAGTCAATAATGGAATGATAGCAAAGGCTTTTGGCCACTGTGAATTTTAAAAAGAACAACTGAAAGAGCTCATAGAGAGCATACTTATTAATAAACCACGCACATATACAGTCCAAAAGCCCACAATGTAAATCTGGGCATTTAAAATCCAAATCTTAATTGAAGTTTTTGAAGACCAAAAGGAAGACATTAATGCAAAGAGTGTCATTTGTTCAATATAAATGGTGGAGTGAGATCTGGTTGCTAACAAAACCAGAATATAAATGAAAAGTTTAAGATTTTGAAAGATTCAAATTAGTGGTCTTAGACTTTGGACCCCGCTGTGAAACAATAACAGCTCTCTATGATGATCTGTTGGAGGCAGGTCTAGATATGATGTTCTGATGTGTATTTTTTTAACTTTTCCCAGGTGTGTGTTTAGTAAGGAGCTGAAATCGCCCAGCAGCAGGGTGAAGCCCATGTCACCATCGGATTTTCTGGATAAATTAATGGGAAAAACATCTGGATATGATGCTCGCATCAGGCCTAACTTTAAAGGTTTGACTTCAACTCCAATCTGCTCTAATGTAATTTATAGTTTTAATTTCTATTAAAGAAAATGTGATTTCTGTGAGTATAGCAAGTGATGAGTGCATCAAAAACTGTGAAATGCTCATCTTTATGCAACTGAGAGGCAAAGACGGTCACTGTCAGCCAATTTCTATCACACTACCATTCAGAAGGTTTGGGTCAGTAAGATTTTTGAATGTTTTTAATATTGTCAAACATGCCATTTCAAATAACTGTTTTCTGCATGTTTTTGAATTAAATTGATTTCTGTGATGGCAAAGAATGACAAAGCCATTCCTCCAGTCTTATACTTTAGAAATCATTCCAATATGCTGATTTGGTGCTCAAAAAACATGCATTATTGTCATCACAGTTTAAAAACGGTTGTGCTGCTTAATGTCCCCTCTCATAAGCTATATACGTATATCACTAATGTCATGAATGTTAAATCAATAAATAAACTGCTGCAATCAAATATTTACAAAGTAACTGAATGCTAATTAAACATTGCCTGAATAACGTAGTCAGCTGTGTAGATCATTTTAAATAAATGAAGCATTTTACAGATGTCTAGTTCTCTATGTTTGTGAAAATGCTTTATTTTATCATTTGTAAACAGTCTTGGACAACCTCTTCAAGTGTTTTGTCTTGGAAACTATCTGTTGCTATTTGCTGCTTGTGGATTTCTTTTTTATTCAAGACAATGAAGTTCAATTCTGTGTGAATTATTTATCTAATCTAATATGTGACCCTGGACCACAAAACCAGTCTTAAGTCGCTGGGGTATATTTGTAGCAATAGCCAAAAATACATTATATGGGTCAAAATTATAGATTTTTCTTTTATGCCAAAAATCATTAGGATATTAAGATCATGTTCCATGAAGATTCAGCTTTCAGATGATGTATACATCTCAATTAAAAAAAAAAAGACCCTTATGACTGGTTTTCAATGACTGGGTCCAAGGTCACATACAGGTGCATCTCAATAAATTAGAATGTCGTGGAAAAGTTCATTTATTTATGGGAGACGCAGAGGTTGAGTTTTCAATGTTTTTCTTTTTCGATCATTTGAATGAATGCATCCATTGCTGGATAGAGAAGTACTCATTTCTTTCAAAACAATACTCTTACTGACCCCAATTCTTTTATTAAAGCATCTCTATATGTATACAATGGACATTTGGAAACCAAATGCAAAAATGCATTTAGCCTATATGATGATTTTATTAACTGTATAATAAAAGCAATCACATGCAGACCATACTAAAGACATCCACAACGATTTCTTGGTCATTTTTTCAACATCATATAAAGCAACACAGAAGTAAGTAAAACTGCTGTTGCAGCTTAATCTCTTTTACATAGATTGTTTTGGCAAGAACTCTGTGAAAATGTGATGCGGTCAGCAAAGAATATATATATATTTAAAGAATACATTCTCTGTGAGCCTCGTGTGTGAAAAAGTGCTGCGGCCCGAAAACACAGAGCAACATAAGATCTCATTAAACTATGTGACCCCGCCCCATGGGTTCTCAGGTCTATTTTTTACCATCCCCACCATTCAACAAGAGAAACCCACAGGCGTTCAGAGACGAAAACCGACAGAATATGAGACAGAATTTCAGCCCCAGACGATGAGAATGATTTCAGAAACATGCAGGATACGGCTGTCAGCTCACGCTAGATTTCTCTCCGTAAAAAGTGTCACAACAGCCTCTGTGAGGATTCGTGAGGGGCAGTTTCTCAGCTGGCATCAGGGCCATTTAGTTTGCTGTGCTGTCCACTCGAGTGCGTGTTAACCCACAGACCTAAATAAATCTTTTCCTCTCAATTCTCTTGCTTATGTTTTTTAAAACTGGAATTTTTTTTTTATTCATACTTTTTCTTCCCTCCTTCCTCTCGTTTTCTCTCATGATCTCTTGCTCTCTCTCAGTAGGCGTCGCTGAGCTCGTGTATATTTCATATCTGTTCTACATCTTAGAGATGTGGCTGTCTGTCAGCATGTGTGGAGGGAAATGTCCCCTCTGATAAGCTATATATATCACTAATGTCATGAACGTTAAATCAATAAATAAAATGCTGCAATCAAATATTTACAAAGTAACTGAATGCTAATTAAACATATTGGCTGAATAGCAGTGAACAGCTGTGTAGTTCATTTTAAGTAAATGGGGCATTTTACAGTTGTCTAGTTCTCTATGTTTGCGAAAATGATTTATTTTGATAATTTGTAATTGGACTTAACAGTCTTGGACAACCTCTTCAAGTGTTTTGTCTTGGAAACTATCTGTTGATATTTGCTGCTTGTGGATTTCTTTTTATTCAAGACACTGAAGTTCAATTCTGTGTGAATTATTCATCTAATCTAACATGTTAAAATGGGAGACGCAGAGGTTGAGTTTTTAATGTTTTTCTTTCAGCTAAGATTTGCGCAAATTACATTTGGCTTTCAGTTTAGCTTTATCTTTAGTGGATTGTTTATTCCTGATGAAAAAAAAACAGCTTAGACCAGCCTAATATGATTTGCTGATTTTCCAGACTGGTCTGGTATGTTGGCCCCTTTTTGGTCAGGCTGATGAGCAGCAAAACACCAGGTTGGGGATCAGCTAGACCACTCTAAACCAGCAAAGACCAGCAAAGCGGTTTAAGCTGGTTTAAGTTTTTAAGAAATATGCTAATGTTTCATATTGTGTTGTTCTTTCATTTTTTAGGTCCTCCGGTAAATGTTACTTGCAACATTTTTATCAACAGCTTTGGTTCCATCACAGAGACCACCATGGTACACACACACACACACACACACACACTAAACATATACTCATATCTACTAGGGAGAATTTTTCAGTATGCATTAAATGAATGATCATTAAATTTACACATTACATTGGTTTAGAGTTTGAGGAATCTACACACACACACACACATATATTTACATGGGAGGGATGCCTACACATATATAGCTTATCAGAAATATGTTTGGTCTAGAATGTACCACAGTACACTGTTTAAAACAGAGTTAAAATAATTAGAATCAAGCCTGAACATGATAATCAGACTTTATTCGGACTAGAATCATCAGACTCAGTTTTATGAATGATAGATTCTTAAAGCTATTAAGAAGTTAGTAACTGACATTTTAGACACAATTTGGCAACCATAATTAACACAGGCAAGTGGAGTGATATGGAAAGGTCCAGTGCTGTTACATGAATTAAGTCCACTAATTTGTCATAAATAAATAAGTAAATAAATAGTGGACTGGAAATAATTGTTGTACATTAACATCTGTCATGTTTTAGCAAATGTCTTTGCCTCAGCTGCTGTGAATGTGATCTGATGTATTTCTGAACACTAACTCCTCAGGATTATCGGCTGAACATTTTTCTACGACAGCAGTGGAATGACCCACGGCTGGTTTATAAAGAGTATCCAGATGATTCCCTGGATCTGGACCCATCCATGCTGGACTCCATCTGGAAGCCAGACTTGTTCTTCGCCAATGAGAAAGGCGCCAACTTTCACGAGGTCACCACGGACAACAAACTGCTGAGGATTTTCCAGAATGGAAACGTGCTGTATAGCATCAGGTGCGATATCACCCCCTATAGATTACATATCATTCCAAACCATTACATGAATGATCATCCGAAATCTCTCTCTCTTTCAGACTCACTCTGATTCTGTCGTGTCCTATGGATCTGAAGAATTTTCCAATGGACACACAGACCTGCACTATGCAGTTAGAGAGCTGTAAGACTGAGCCTCCATCAACTAATCTCATGCTTGTCTTATTTCTCTTTTATATGCTCATTATTCTCCATCTTTCTCTCTCTAGTTGGCTACACTATGAATGATCTGATATTTCAGTGGTTGGATGAAGGCCCAGTGCAAGTGGCTGATGACCTTGTGCTGCCCCAGTTTGTCCTGAAAGAGGAGAAAGATCTGGGATACTGTACAAAACACTACAACACTGGTATGTTATTGCAATTCCACCATTATAATTTTTTTTACTGATTTTACAACCAGTGTTGAGTGTATGCATTACTAAGCTTACTCTAATTTAGTTACTTTTCCTTTGAAAAAGTAGAGTAGGGAATTACTGTAATTTGATTCAAGTTACCTCTGATGTAATTGCATTAAATACTTTATAGACTGTAGAACAATTCTATATAAAACAATAGTGGATTTAACATCAAAATTTAACATCTTATGTTAAAATGTATGTTTTTAATATAACCTTCTCACTTTAAATACTTTGGTCCATTCAAGAATAATTTATGCAATTTTACATTATTTATTTGATAGAATTAAAAGAGCAGTATCATGTATTGTTCAACTGATTGATGCTGATATGGGATTTAGAAAGCAATTAGTAATAAGTAACACAATACTTTTTAGAGAGAGTAATTAGTACAGTAATCTAATTACGCTGTTGAGAATGTAATTAGTATTGCTTTGAGTGGTTGTCAAGGGGTTGCTATGCATTTTCTCAGTTGTTTAAAGAGGTTCTTAGAATGTTGCTATGCAGTTGCTAAGGTGTTTGGAGTGGTTGCCATTTTAGGTAATATACAGACTACTTTTTGATTACTTTTAGTTTACTTTTGCCCTCTCTTGTTTTTCACATTGATTTAAATAGGATCATCTTGTACCATATTGACTTAAAAATAAAAAGAGAGGAAAACATATTCCATTTATTGTTATGAACAACATGAAGTGCATTAAACATTACATTATGTCAAGGTTGCTTATGGGGTTTGTGAAGGAACTGCAGAGGGTTCATGAGTTTAATGAAAAGCTAATGATTAATTAAATCATAAAAATGTTAAATTAAAACAAAGAATTTTAAAATGAATCAAAATAAAACACTTAATGAAAAAAAAAAGAAATATTTTATTTGTTTACGTGCATGTCATGTGACCATAACCAATGTCAGAGAACCGTAACCATGCAAATGTGATGCTTTGTTATTAAAATATTTAGTTTAAAATCTCAGGAGTACTTTATATAAAAATATATTTGGTGAAAGAGGATCAGATGACAGAAAAGTTGGTGAATTTGTGCATTTTAATGTGTTTGAAAGACAAAAGCCTTCCAAAGTAATACATGGTAAAGTAACCAACTGAGTGATAATTCAAATAAAAATTAATGTAGTTGATGCAATCAGTAGTTGATGCAATGTTGAAACACTTCTTAAACCTGAAATGATTTTTTTAATCCAGTGGTCAAATGCTGTATAGCCACCTGATTAATGACTGATCTCGTCCACAAAACTGGAAGACTTTCTGAGTGTATATAAGCAGTAGGCTATTTTAGAAAGAAAAGTTAAAAGATGAAAAAGAGGAATTAGGGAGAATCAATAAATTATGAATATGATGATATAATTCATTGTTAACGGTGTAAATAATATGTAATCATGTAATCCATAAAAAAGTAACTAATCTGATTATGAGTATTTTAAAATGACATTTAATTTAATTATAAGTACTTAGTTTTTGGAATTTGATTAGGTAATACAGATTACATGGAATCAGTTACTTTATAGACTGTAGAAAAATTCTATATAAAACAATAGTGGATTTAACATCTTATGTTAAAATGTATGTTTTAACATGTAAAATGTATGTAAAATGTATGTACAGCTCTGTTGGTGAATACAAATGGCATGCATTTATTTTCACTGTCTAACATGATTGCGTGTTTAACCCAGGTCAATTCACCTGTATAGAGGTGAAATTTCATCTAGAGAGGCAGATGGGTTACTACCTGATCCAGATGTACATTCCCAGCCTCTTAACAGTTATCTTGTCATGGGTCTCCTTCTGGATCAACATGGATGCCGCCCCGGCCCGTGTTGGCCTGGGCATCACTACAGTTCTCACAATGACAACACAGAGCTCTGGATCCAGAGCATCACTGCCTAAGGTAGGAATCTACTTTATCTATCCATATCATCCACTTTCTTTCAGTCATTATTTAATCCCCCTGATGTTGTTCCAAACCTGCATGTTTTGTTCAAATGGATTTCTATGTTAATTGACAGCATTTGACAGATGCTACATTTTTGTTAAATCCAGAATATTCCGTGTTTGCATGCATGCAGGTGTCCTATGTGAAGGCCATTGACATCTGGATGGCAGTGTGCTTGCTGTTCGTCTTTGCTGCTTTGCTGGAGTACGCAGCAGTTAACTTTGTCTCTCGGCAACATAAAGAATTCTTCAGACTGAGGAGAAAACTGCGGGAAGAGCAACGCTATAGAGCTGTGAGTGTCAGTCTGAAACTCTCCTCTGTCATACACACGCGACTTGCTTTGAGTGCCCTTAAGATACTATACAATCACTGTGTGCCTGTGATCTTTCATGAGAGCAGCCTGCTGGCCCCTTCAGAGCAGGGAGGGAAGGTCAGCGATGGCATAAAGCCATGTCATGAATATTGCACAGAGTAATACTGTTCTTTCCACACACAAAATGTGGGACAACACGAATGGGAAGAAAGTGAAGGAGCTGCGGGATTTTAAATCTGGAAAATGTCCCAGTGAAGCAGAATATCAAATGCTTAGCTGAACTGATAAATTAAGCATTATTTATCTTTTACCAAATGGAAATGCTAAAGCAGTAATTGTATTCAAACAGGTTTTCTGAACCTGAATCTATGATTGGTTGGCAAGACAGATGGCCCTGCTCAAAGCTCACACCATTGGTTGATCCAGTGTTGTTGGGTCAAGCTGGTCCGGGTGCTCAAATAAACTCTGTGAGCATTACAGAGCTTGGGGGAATTTAACCTACAAATGGCTTTCTTATAGTTTATAAATATTAAGATGTCTGATTATTAAGAAGACCCTGTTTTGACACTGAAAATCAGTTTTAAGAAATGTATTTTGCTTTGTTATACTCAATGACTATCAAGGTGAATCTCATGAAGCTTGTCAAGAACATAATTGTACAATTTTTTTTTTACCCCAAAAGAGTAATAAATATAAAAAATATATTTTTCAGTTCAACAAATACTACCATTCTGTACAAATAAAAGTAATGTACTTACCCTACCATTTAAGTAAGATTTTGTTAGTAAATAAAAAATTCCGCAGAGATGCATTAAATTGTTTAAAATTGACAGTAAAGACTTTGTGAAAAATCATGTTTTTCACAAAACTCTTAAAAAAACAATGATTTCTTTCACAAGTGACACTGAAGACTGAAGAAATGTCTGCTAAATATTCAGCTTTGCCATCACATGAATAAATTACTTTTAAAATATATTAATATTGAAAATGGTAATTTTAGATTTTAATATTTCACAATATTAACTCATATTTTTTAATCAAATAAATGTAGCCTTGGTCGGCATAAGATACTTTTTCCAAAAACATAAAAAAAATCTTACCAACACCTACTTTTCTGTAGTGTATATATATTATTTGAGTAAAAGTAATATCTAATTTTCTTTTTTAATATGTGTTCCATTAAAAAATACAAACAAACCCTTAAGAAAAACATCCAGATGCATTATGCTAATGAGAATGGGGTGGGGGTAGTTGTGCTTGTCATGAAAATTTCGCAATGCACTTTTAATGGTCCTAAAAATAGGCTTCATTTTCTTGATGTAACACATAAATTCTCGTTTTGTCTGATTTTTGAGCTGTATTATGACCCACACATGCTCTTTGTCTGCCTGGAATAGAAGACTATTCCCAGATTCCTCGCAGGAGTTTTTGTCAGCAGAAACTGCAGTTATTTCCCTATCTTTACTCCTAACCAGCTAGTTGAGAGAACATCGTGGCTTTCTTTTGGACACAGCAGACACTGTCCTGACACAAAGAGCAGAGAGAATAAATATTACACTATCCTGTCCTTTTCTATTCCTCCTCCATCGCCCCTCTATCGCCCTGCAGGGCAGGCTGTGTGTGTGTGTGTGTGTGTGTGTGAGAGAGAGAGACCCAGTGGGTGAGTTGGTGGCGCTGTGCCCCCTCATTTGCCTTAGGGATGCTGTTAGGCATGTAACATGCAAACATGCTTACACACTACTGCACTCAAGCTTTTAGGCACAATGTACATATAAAAACACATACACCCCATTATGCATGTGGTGTTAGCCACATACATACAAACACATACACACACAGACACACACAATCTGACTGACTGTTTGGTCACAGGCAGAACGGTGCAGTAGGGTTAGGTTGCAGTCTGATCTCATGTGCACTAAGTCACCCAAAGCAGCGAACTGTACACAATGTGATTCAACACAAACGCACCTAACTGACTGGATCTCATACTCAAAAAAAAAAGCATCTTTTCTCTAAGGAATAAATATGCTGTCACTGTTGATATCTCACACACACACACACACACACACACACACACACACACACACACACACACACACGCAGAGAGAGAGAGACAGAGACAGAGACAGAGAGATCTATATATTGAAAATATCACCAATAATAAGTAACCTGGAAAAAAAGGGAAGACTGAGGAAAGCCAAAGAAAGCTGGTACAAGAAAGGAAGACAAAGCCAAAGAAAACCGTATGTAGAAAACATATGTATCTTAGAGAGTAAATGCATTGTTTAAAACTAAAGCCTGGCTAACAAAAATATGTTCTAAGAACATTTAGCTAACGTTACCAATAAGTTATTAAAAAATGTTATTGCTGAATGTTTAAAATGTCAAGTTTTAAAAGTGTTTTTTTCTTGGTTATGCTAATGTTAAAGGAACATTCCATTTGATCATTTTGCAAACATTATGGAAACGTTACTTTTGAATGTTCTCTTAACATTCTGAAACAAGTTGTCACAATAAAAGACAAATGTCAAACTAAGATGTTTCAGATAATCAATAATGTATAAATGTATAATATTTTGTGGTAACGTTTGAGAACCGATAACTTTGAATGACCATTCTGTTAACGTTACTGGAAGAACATTTGTTCATAACTTTGAGAAAAGCTTGCCAGAATGTTAGCCGAATTCCTGAGAATGTTCCGTTATATGTGATGGTTCAGAGTGAAATCCGCTCACTGACTTAGTTACGTCTTGACAAATTAAAGATATTACTGTAGAAATGTGCATGCCCACTAGAGATTTTTAAGGTACATTGTGACCCCGTTTCAGATCTGTAATGCATGGTTACAGAAAATCCGGGGAGGTTGAGGAGTGCACTGGAAGAGAATATTTTATTGTTTAAATAAATAATGGCTCCGTTTTTAAATAAGTGTCTTTGTATTGACTTCAGGCATCTGGTCAGGCTGGAGGAGCAGAGATGAAGAACAAAAGCAACAATGTCACAGAGAGTACGCCAAGCAGAAGCACACAACGCCACTGCAGTGCCTGTGCACGGGTATATGCACCCACAAATTAAACATTTACATATAAACACTCCGGCCTTTAGAATGCTTGATTCTGATTGGT